TTTGAACATGTCAATCTCTAATATAATTCTCAATCAGAATAATCTGAGCTTAACAAGTAATGTGTTAGATATTACGACTCAAGCAGCTTCATACAATAAATTGCAGTTGAATTTCGGATCTGCTAATCTTCAAGGCAAAAAAATTGCTTTAAACATGATTTCGATGTACTATTCATGGCCTAATATTACTAATACAAACAATACATTTTCGACCTTATGGCCAACAGGTACTAATAGTTATACGAATTTTAGCATAACAATCCCAGCTATTACGAATTATTCAACGGTTGCTGATTTAAATACGTATTTACAACCTGTTTTAATTGCAAATGGACTGTACTTAATTAATAGCACTACAAATAATAATTTATATTATATCCAGTTCGTATCTAATCCTAATTTATATGGAGTTAGCTTGGTTTTAAACGTCGTTGGTACATCTCTACCCGCCGGATATACACAACCAGCTAATTTTGTAGGATACCCATCAGTAGCAAGAACTATGAAATTAACAACTGATACAAGCGATTTCAATTTATTAATTGGATATGGTAAATCTTCAGTATTTGATGATAAATCTTCAGTATTTGATGGTAAATCTTCAGTATTTGATGGTAATACTTCAACTATTACTTACAATTCACTATATGTACCTCCATTTAGACCAGTATCTAGTATTAATGTAACTTGTAATTTAGCTAATAATGCAATGGCTCTAAATAATGACTCCACTATTACTTACACTGCTACAACAGCCGGAGTAACGTATGGAAGCATTATTAAGATTGAACCAACTAATATAGTTTATTATGATATTGCTACAACTGCTAACATCCTTGTCATTGCATTTACGGATCAAAATGGTGTTCCTTTATACATTAAAGACCCTGCAATTAATATATTCCTACTAATATCTTCTTAAATATATACAAGAGAACAATTGAAACAAGAGAACAATTGAAACAGAATCAGAGAATCTGCCAAACTTTGTTTGCTCATCATGAGAATTTCAATTAAGAACAAAAGGGTGCACAGCTCCCTATCACGGCCTTCGGGCGTTAAAAAATGTAGTCGAACTCAAGATGCAACTAAACCGCAACCGAGCTCGTCAACTGAGCAAACAAATGTGCCAACATTAATTAATGAATTCAAGACACTTACAGTCGCACCTAAAACAATTAAGAAAGTATTTTTAAAATTATAAGCGTTTTGATTTTAAACGCTCATTAAGAGATTCGTTTATAGCTTCCAGCTGTATATTTTTATTTTCTAATATTTTATATTTAGCTACGACATCGTAATATTTTTCTGTATAGTTTATTTCTGATGTATCAATTACATCATATTCACCTTCTTCATTGAGCTCTTGATCATTAGTTATAATACCATTTTTTGTATTAATAAATCGCATTCGGTCGGCACTCCATTGACTCGTATCAACTCTGAAATTGGTTAATACAAATACATGCGGATATGGGTATCTGCATTTACCACCTTCATACTTACCGCTGTAAATAGTTCCATTCTTAATTTGCTCAAGTGCACCATAATTAATATAATCTTTTCCTTGTCTAGGTACATCTAGAATAATTACATTTGGAATATTACCTTTATCCACCTGTGTCTTAATTTGATTAAAAATGTTATTTTTTTCCCATCAGCTATAATAACATTATAATCGAAATCTAACTTATTACAGATGAAGCTTTTGCCAATATTGCCGGATTTGAGAAGAGTGTTATCTTTTATCTTATCAACATCTTCAATGATATAAATAGCTCATTCATCAGCAGGTTCACTGCAAATATCTAAAATTGTTTGTTGAAATGGTTTCCATTTGAAACTGTTTATCCAGTTCTTTATATATTGCATTAGTGTACCACGTATTAACTATAGTAATCATTTTATGAGATAAAAATTCTAGAGGATATATCTTAAAGAACTGTGATTTAGTCAGTTTGCTCAATTCTGATACGTTAATACCAGCATCATCAAAAATCTTCTTGAAATGATTGATATATAATTTATTCCGCTTATCATCTTCATTCAAAACTAGATCCTCATTTTTCTTAAAAGATGAATATAATAGGAAATGATCGACCTTAATTTGCTCTACTTTGATTGCAGACTTAAGGCTAAGTGAAATCACATTCGTTTGAATTTGATTGATCTTTTCAGCTTTTCGTTTTGCAAATAAAGTCGTGATTTCATCGATTGCTCAGTAAATAGCAATACACTTCGACTGCTCTTATCGACTAAATGCACTTTTTCAAGGAATTGACTTTTGAGATGTTCCATAATTCGCAGAGCTAATTTTACGAACTTCGTGTGTATTATGTACTATATTATATATTATATAAATATATTATTCCTCTAAATGGGGAGTAAATTATAAAAATTTCAATCGAGTTTACTATATTATAGATTTAAATATATATATATATATATATATATATATATCATTTTTTAAGTCAACTTAATTAACTTGTTTCCTTTAATCTCGGCTTTGATATTTGATTTAGCTTTTTCTTTAATAAATAAATATTCATGAATCTGCGTCATATGTAATACTGTCTGTAGCAATTCTAATTACGTTGTCAATATGCTTTAAAGCTAACAACATCATAATTTTTCTAGCATACTGGTAGCTAGTTAAGAATGGTTTTAATCTGAGTTGATAGATCTACTAGTTGATAAAATTCTTGGTCTTCTTGCATAAAGAATTTCTTTAAGTAATATTTATTTTCATTGACATCAGACGATTGACCATAATCAATATTTTCAATTTCTATCTGATCTGCTGACTTAACAATATCTTTTTTGGATTGTAACTCACCCCAAGCAGTACTAAATATTTTTTTGACTAGTTTATTGGACGGATATTTAGTTTTTAATGCATCTAAACTATGATACCATTTACTAAAGACTTTTGAACTTTCTAAAAGTTTACTTTTATCCTTGTACTTTAAACATTTATTGGACAACAATGTTAATTGAACTTTACCACCATGATGCTTATTATAGATATTCATAACAAAATTTAACGTAGTATGCGTATAATGGTTATCTTTACTATAGCTGAAGATTTTGTTAAATCGTTCGTCATTAGATTGTACTTGCACGTGGTAAATACCATAGCTATATCCGCAATTTGGTATTACTTTGATATTGCATTCTTCTCCTTTTGAAATTGGGAACATAAATGATGGACAATTTAGTATATTCGGATAAAATTGTTTCTTATCGTAGGTAACTACATTATCATATACACCATTCGTATGATAGATTAGACCACCATTATTACATTTATCAAAGTAATCATCCTCAAAAATTTCAATTAGATCGAATTGTAAAATATCCTTCATGTTATGCATCTTGATGTATCGAATGGCATTATTACTATGCGTTCTATAGTAAGTTTTGTTATACTTTTTTAGCTTGTTACAAAAGTAATCGAACGTCGACACATCTAGTATTTCATTGCGCCATTTAATAAAATCCTCAGAGAATTTTAGTAAACCATTATGGATGGAATAGCTCATACCCTTTAAATAACTCAAATTGATTAATTTTGTATTCTAAAATCAACACAGTATTAAACTTTTTAGTTTCATAATTGAACGTATTAATAATAAATGTATTATCATAATTCTGAACCAAACGATGAAATTGGGGAAGTTATTCATTTTAGTTATAAATTATATATATATTATTTCTTAAGATAGACATCATTTTATCTACACAATGTAGAGGTATAATTTTAAAAAATATACTACAAACTTATTTTGTAAATAGACATATTCAACTTTGTTGAAGCTGGTAAACTTAGTATCGCTTTTAACTCTACCATAGAGATAATCATCTTCATCAGTAACTATCGATGTTAATGGTCGACCTAATGACTTCAATGTAGCAAAACCTAGCTCACCTAAAGCTTTGATATATACATTTTTATCTTTTAATTTATATTGTTTAAGTAGCGTATCAGCATGTGTAGTTATTTCATGTAGATCAATTGCAGAATCATTTTTATTAGAAATTGTAATATTTATCTTATTTTTGGATTTTTTAACTGTTTGAACGAAATTATTAGTTTTTGCTCTCTTTGCTTGATGAATTTCTAGAATTTTCGAACAGGCTCGACTTTTTTTTATTCTACGAATTTCAGCTCCTAAGAACTCATTAGTAGCTGTTTTATATACCACTTTAGTATTTGGTAATAATTTTTTGTATTCGCGCCAATTGGTCGAACGAGTCTTAATTATATTAGTAGTACAATATTTTTCTCTATATATATTATAAATTGTACTTCAAAATGAGGATTAATTTAATTATTCATCCGGATAAGATTGATATAACCGGATAATAATGGTGTGAATAGTAATAGTATGGTGCATTTCAACTAAAGACTACAAAAAACTCCTTGTCTTTCGACAGCTATTCCAACTTTGTATTGATATTTTTTAGGAAAATAAGCCGTAATAACGATAGAACTGGTCAAGACCAACAGATGTTACGGTTCAAAATTTCGATTGGTGAAAAATTGATCGAGTAATAGAATTTAAACCAACCAGCCTTTTTGTATGGAAATATATGGAGCCAGGCACATTTTGGCCGAAAAGGAGCATCAAGTATATCTTGGTCTTTGTATACAGCACTTATCCGTATGAACGTTTCCATTGTATCCGGATTATTCAGGATGTTTAACCTATTTACCAGATAAAAAACGTAAGTAAAAATAATTTAACGTCAACATTACGTGGGTTTAACTGAAATAACCGAGGCGTTTAATAGTAAAACGTCTCCTCCTGAGGATGGCCGATATGTACTCTTTAGATGAAATGCACCATAGTTGAATATTGTGAGCGAATAAATAGTGTAAGTAGATAATAGGAATGATAGTAAACAGTTTAAGATAGCGACTACATTGAGTAAATTGTTGACTTGGAGATTATTATACTTCGATGACGTTGTTGGGAGCGAAAACAAGTCTTACATAATTCATGATTTCGGAGAAACGTATGATTATTCATTAATATATTTCAAACGAACTACAAGTAGAAGGCTAGAAGGACGCACTCATGCATTCCAAGGTGGCTCCAACTACGCGTTAGCAAGGGCAATAATCCTCTGCACGAGCGGAAACAAATCAATTGTTAGATTGAGGGCAGTGAAATGAGCTGGAATCGGTGCAAGTGCAGGAAGCCCTAAAAGGCGGCGCGAATCCAAAACCACATTGGTCGGATTCATAATCGGTGTCGCAACCATAGCCGGTGGTTCAATGGCGCCACCAACCACTGAATGCAGCTTGTACTGGTAGACTCGCAGAGCCGGTGAGAGACGGATGAGGAGAATGTATTCCACTCCAGGAAATTGGCTCCATTGAACGGCTTTCGCATCCAAGTGTGGCCATCCTCTTGCCACTCCCACTTCCACTTTCAACGTATGATACTCCATCCAGGTCAAACCATGGGGTAGAGTTGCGCCAAAACCAGGGGCAGGACCAAAGCTGGAATCCGGCTCGATGTGCGCAAGAGTGTCAACGAATGCTGATCCACAGGACAGTAAGTGCTCCTCGCCCGTACCAGTTGCAGAAATCACAGCAATGTCTAGAGATCTCGAGATCTTGTCGTGAATTCTTCCAGGCAATTCGACAATGTAAATCTTGCCATGGTTCCAAGCCATTGCACGCGACAGCAGCGCTTGTTGCTCGGATTTCACATATCGTTTCCAATCTTCAAGCGAGGCATCGCACACGTACACACCAGGATCCGTCTCGGCACGCGTGAGAGAAATCAAATCGGCTTCAACTTCCTTCATATCCATCTTCCTGATGAAGCGATTGATGCGTTGAACCGCCATATTCCGGGTTGGCAGCGCATAAATCGATTCCCCGTCGCCATGACATGCGACACTCATCGTCTTCTCTTCTTTTTTGCGTCCTGCCTCCTTGTGTGAAAGAAACGACCATGAATGAATGTTTTCTATAATAGTTCGCACTGTTCCATATCCGGATAAAGAGATCAGAAGAAACTTGTATATGCGACATGTAAAATACCTGAATTGTATATGAGCTGTTTAAACACGTTTAAATCCGAATTGTATCTTTTTCAGATGTTCCTCACCAAAATCAAACTGCTGAGAAGTTTGTTCTCCTGTATTTTTGTCTTTCACCAAAATCAAACTACCCAGAAATTTTGTATTTGTGTTTTTTTGTCTTTGGGAAAAATCAAACTTCACAGGAATTTGTATTTGTGTCGTTTTGTATTTGGGAAAAATCAAACTTCCAATTTTCTAGTATTTATGTCTTTTTGTCTTTCTTATTAAATACATAAATACAAAAAGACAGTGGGTATAGGACTTTTGAAATATTTCTGTTTTCGTTTGTTTTTTTCTAAGTTCCTTACGTCACTTTTCACTTTTCTTTAAACCTCCTCTACTTATTTCTTCTCTAAGTTCTTTAAATACCGTTTCACTTCGTGAGCGAAGCGAACATGTAAGAGGGTCCCTAACTCTCTCTTCTCTATTGTTTTTTTAGTGCCGACTCCCTGCAAGCCGCACACTTGATTGACTTGATGTTACCACGGCACTGCTGAACCAAGAGTGAGATTTCCGGCAGTTGGCTGGGACAGGTCTTCTGTTTTCTATGTCCTAGTACTACTAGCAATACTACTAGTAATACTACGACTTCAGTGTGGTATTCGCCATAATTGGATTTCACTAGTACAGTAGTTTGAAATTCTCTGTATTAACATGTAAGTACTATAAATAGCACGTTTTTTACATCATTGAAATATTGTACTAACGTTAGTATTCGATTTGTGTCTAAAAATATGCATTATTGAGATGACATCACAACTATCCGGATAAGTCAGCAAGCGGACAAGCAGTTGGTTCTAAGTTTTGATCAGTAAAACAGCATGCGAATCTGTCGAATACCATGTTTCCCTTGACTCCCTGCAAAATGTAGTACCAACTGTACATATTCGAAGTATATTGCAATTGAAATCCACTTCTCTCAAGATTTGGAGCACACGTGCTTGCTAGTTGAACGATGTGGATGGATATGATGGAGGGCTATTGCGCATCATTAAGATACCGGTAGCGATGGCGCCGGCGAACGCTTCATTCTGTATCATACCAAGGTCGCCACGTCACATCCCACATCAACAGCGTGTGTAGTAGTACTGAGCTGGGATCACTCGACCTCGAGTACATGACGCTTGATAGTTCCTTTGCTGCCTGACAAAACTTCACACCAACTTGTTTACTGTTAGTACGACATGAAAACTCTTTTTTCTACACTTCACAGGTTTTTTCGAAAAGTGTCGGAACATTTGGTCATGTCTCAAGCAACACGTTTTTCTGCAAGAAGTTGCCACTGTTATAGTTTGTAAATGTAGCTATTAACGAGCAGGGTCTCACACGGTTGGAATCTTTCGCTGGTCCAGGCCTTTGGTTGCTTGGGGCGTTGGTTTGACCTGGCGCAATTTGCATTGTTTGTTCTTTATAGAGCACGACAGCAACGCTACCTCTGAGTGCTTCCATATAGTTGCTGCCAACGAGATGGGTTTGATATAGTTGGTTACGCACGGGTGCATCAGACTAAAAGGCATTCAAATTGTACCCCAATGGAATGAATGAATTTCGCTTCACAGTCAAGAACATTTACGTCATTTTGCGCACTCGAAGTTCGTGCCACAAGAGTTACATATTTGTCGGCGTAGGTTGAGGCTCAAGTCAGGTCCAACAAGAACTGGTCGTTCCCACTATACCCCCCACAACAAACACAAGTACTGATGTCAATGATTCAAGCTCCATCTCAGACGCGCCAAGGTAGTACTTACTGTATTCAATGTACGCCAGCCCATTTCTAAAAATTATATCAAATCGCGACCACACGACTGACAACGCTGACGTGATATCGTGTCGGGTTGTGAAATCCGACATCACGACGGAGTGCATCATGTCCTCCAATACCAATTGGGTACGACAGGAAATACTATCCAGATACATCCGGATAATCCGATTTTGCTGCCATTCATACGATTCATTATTCCGATCCACACATGACATCCTCCGACGTCTATTGTTGAAACGTGCAACATGGGAATGTCACAAGTATACTTTTTGTGGTAAGAGTTCATTTGGATAAAATAAGAGGAGGAGTCTCGCCAGTTTGAACTTGAAGTGCGACTTGGGCAAAGGGGGATCTCGTCGCCAGAAACATGCAACTTGTTTGGGTGTGCGTTTCCACAGCACGGTACTTGATTGTATATACCACCATAAGTTATACGGCACTACATTACCCGCTGCCATTCATACTCTGACCACCAACCCCAATTACATACTCGTGTCGATCCTAGCGTAAATGCTACGAAGAGATGTGCCCCCAACGAGTCGATTTGCGCTCGCTCCACTTGGGCGTGGACACGAGAACAAGCTCAAGCAGCTGGGGCGAACATTGCTCAAGCAAGCGATCGTCGAGTGCGAGACGTCCCTCCAGGGAATGGACCAGCACTGGAAACACGTGCGGAATTCGCATGGTATCAAAGTGTACAAAGCCAAGACTGTCCACGCGCCGTCGCACATGATGACCACGGGGATCATCAAGGCGAGTTTGAACCAAGTGATGCAGTGCTTGTATGCAGACAACACGGCGCAGTTCCGCATGCTCAATGCGCTACTCATGCCCAAGGACCACTTGGACTGCGAGGTGTTGCACGCGCTGGACGTGCAGGATGCCAGCCATCCGTTCCGCTTCAACGGGCTCAAGTGGTGCGCGACGAGCACCGGGTCCCTTGGCAAGACGACCAAAGACTTGTGCTACTTTGACTCGACAGGCCTCACGCAAACGTTGGACAAGGATGGCCAGCCGCTCGAGTACGGATACTGTTTTCTCGAGTCGTACGACCTAGCGCAGTGTCCCAAGCTGGACGCGTTCTCGATCGGTCGCGCAAAAATCTCTGTCCGTCACATCTTCAGAGAGCTTCCCATGGGGGCCACGGTCGTTATGACGCATTCCACGGTGGACTCGTCCACGTTGCCTCTGTGGATCCACCCCCAAGGGTCAATTCCCCCGCAGGTGCTGGCCATCGTCAACGCCGCCGACGTGGCCGAGTCCATCAGGCTCTCGCGTCGCATGCAGGAGCAGGCTTCCAACGGGCTCACCGTGTACACCAAAACCGGTAGCCCCCGTCCGTGGGGCAAGCTGTCGTTTCTGCTCAACCGGCCGCCTTCCAAATGCACCTTGTGTCATCACGACACGTCGAAACTGCTCCGACGCCGAGTTGTGCAAGTCGAAGGCAACGGCATCAAAACGTCCCGGCAGCTGTTTTGCTCCACGTGTGTCTCCCCCACAACCACGTTTGACGCACCCACCACGATGCTAGGTCCGTCCAGCGTCCACGACGACGACGACGAGAACGATCTCATGCACTTGTCCATGCGCAGCAGCAGCACACTGCACGCATCCGGGTACGCGTCGTCGTCGTCGTCTGCCTGCTCACCGTCATCATCCGTGCATATGCTGGAGCTGGACGACGAAGAAGCGCTGGACGAACTGTCGTACTCGGGACTGCCGTTCACGCACATCATCCCCCCCCTGCAGGCCGCCGCCAAGAGCAGCCGCTGCTTGTATCATAGCGAGACGGAAGACTCGTCCGACGACAGCTCGTCGTCCCCCAGACACCCGGACGAGGCGTGCTGCCACCTCCACTCGGCCCATCCGTACTCCACAGCCATCGCCACCGAACTCTCCCGACTCACCATCCAAATGGACCACATTTGGGGCATCGTCCGAGCCAACAAAACCCAAGCGGACTTCTTCAAGGGGTACAACCGCATTGAATATTTATAACAAGAGCCATGGCCCGCCACCCCACGGGACGCAACGTGGGGAGGTTTTGGCATTAAATTATGCCTTGTTTTCACGGCACGTTTCCTCTCGTTTCGTTTCGCGCTTGTCATGTGTGAATTTGCCAATTATAATGGCAGCTTTGCCACAACATGACAGCTGTAACATGAATTTCGCCTAGTTTTCACCAGACTCTGGTCAAGTCTATTGCAGGCAGCGCTACAACCGCGGCGGCTACTTTGAATGTCCTTGAAGCAGTTTCCATGTACTGTAGTAGTAGCTAGTTCGTAGACGTGTGACATCGTGATCATCGGTGGACGTTCCGAATCCAACTTGGTCCTGCTGGCACTGCACATGGTCAACAGAACGTTCGTAGTACTTCGAAGTACACTGTACCATATCTCAGTGAGGTTGACCTTGATGGTGCACTAGTACAGCCTATCAAACGCCTCTTACGACGGGGACATACAGTAGTTCTGCGTACTATTACTAGTATTATTGTGCTTTCGAGTGAAATTTCGTGTTGTGGCGTGGTTTCTCGTTGGAATTTAAATCGATTTGATTGGCTACTTCAGATGAGCTCGAAATTATTAGCCAATCAAAACCCATTTCTCAATGAAATTCAACCAATCAGATCGATTATGGATCGATTTGGTCGGCGCGATTCGATTGCACCCCCTCCCCAAATTTGTACAGTATATCAAATCGACTATAATCATTGTCCTTTTGTTTCAGGCAAGATTACTTGAATATATATATATATATATATATACATGGCTGCTATTCTTGGTTTCATTGCATGTTGTGGAAACCAAGATCGAATGCAAGCGCAAGGCAGACTTGTTGTTAGCATGTGGCGGCTACAAACTACCCTCGCTTGACGACTCTGGCGACGATGATCGTAATGTCGTCGGGCATGCCGCCGCCCCACATTTTATCGTTTTCTTTGGCCAGGCGGGCAAACGGCGAGTCGATTTTTCGATCGAGCGACAAGTCATACGCCCGCTGGACCAACTGTTTCGTCATAGATTCCACTACTTGCATCACATTCAGTCCCAATTGTCCTATATGTTTGCGAGCTCTATCCCTCCTTACCGTCCGGCTCTGCGGCCACAATCTCGAGCAGCTGGTCTTCGTCCTACATTCGAGAACAATATTAGCCACGTACAATAGAGTAGTAGCCGTAAGTATGTCAAGTCGATATATGCGAGTGTTTGGGTGCTTGCTCAATCGAATGACCAGAATAACCAAATATCGACACGACTATCGATATACGACCAATCGAAACCCACAACACGAATCAAGTAGCCAATCAAATGATCCACTCTTCCATGAATGCAACATCGAATTAGTGTGTGACTTCAATTAGTGTGATACACGACGAGTTTACATCCAATCGATCGATAGAGGAGTGTTGGAAGCCAGCACAAAAGTTAACCAAATTTTGGGTAAAAGAAATACAATACCACGTTGTCAAAAAGGCCATCCGTGGCGAGGATGATCAAGTCGCCTTCCTCCACGGGCACGCGGAGGTTGACGGCTTCCCTGGGGGTTTCAAAGAGCGGACCAGCCGAACCGTCGGGGATGTCTGGCACGTAATACCCCAGCTACACACCCGTCGTCCATGTAGCACACAGCACGAAAAGATAGTAACCTGGAACGGGCAGTTGAAGTAATGCAGTTGCTGGGGGGACCGGTACGACACGTGGGCCCCTTTGCGCCGACCCGCGGGGGTCAAGTCCGTGTCTCTGTTCTTCATCTTGCGCGTCAGAGATCCGTCCAACGTCCCACGCTTTTCTGCCGTCTTGAGGTCAGATTTCTACTCCATACACACCACACAAGGTATTGTTGTCAAGTCGATATATGCGAGTGTTTGGGTAGGTGCTTGCTCAATCGAATGAGCTGAATAACCACATATCGACACGACACAATCGATATACGACCAATGAAAACCCACAACACGAATCAAGTAGCCAATCAAATCATCATCCACTCACATTCGACCATGTTTCAACATCGAATTAGTATGTGACTGAAAAAATTAGTGTTACATCGGACTAGTTTGACATACAACAGACAAGTGCAAAGTATCGATCGATAGATTTGGCAAAGAATCAGCGTCCAAATTTTGGGTAAAACAAAGACAATATATATATATATATGTTATCACCGTCCTCGTGGCCTATCGCTAGGGCACACATGAAAGCCTACTATACCTTGTCTCGAATGATCAAAAACCCTATACAAGTCCACGATCAACCCGAGAGTTTAGTCATATATTGGGGACACACAGTACCCGAGTCGCCCAAGTTGACTGCGTACAACTCTGCCTGCACAGGATCCAATGCGACCACGCATGCGGTGGCACTGCCCATAATGGCTTGCTACAGTTAGAAGTTGCATCTAAGAAGTAAGCAGAAGTCGTGTGATAGTACCTGTGATACGTTTTGCCATGCTGCGTGCAGCACTTCGGACGGGTTCACGTGGGGATGTTTGGTTAACGACACGGTCGCGGCGGCTTGCGCGGCTTTCATGAGCTCTCTCGAGTACTGTACCAGCCAATATAGTCAATTTTTATGCAAAATCCAGCGAGTAGGAATCAGTGATTGAGTGAGGGGATGGATGTGTATGTATGTACCTACCTTGCTGGCACTGAAGCCCTGCTCGAACCAACTTCCGACGCCGTCCGACACGCCAAAACACAGCACATCGGCGCCACAGTTGTCGGGCGTGCCGACGGTGCCAAGGAAGAACGCATCTTCGCCCCCCGACTCGACCTTTTGAGGATGCGGAATCGACATGGCAAAGGAATGCAAGACAAACTGGGGGATGTCCTTGTCGTCCATGCTAGGGACAAGAGTGTTGATCTACAAGAGAGAGAGAGTGTATGTATGTACGTACGCCACGCTTGGGGCGAGCGATGTGTTCTTGGGCAGACCTTTCCGCGGTAAAATGAGGTGGACATAGTCCGACTTCGCGCTAATGTTCGCGGACGAAGGAAGCATCCAGTGGATATTGTCGCTCGAAGATGGCGAGATAAGTGCGCATACCTGTGCGCTTCGCCGTCGTTTTGTGAATCGTTCTTGACGAGTAGCGACGCAATGTCTGGGGACAAGGTGACGCACATGACCACGACATATGGACATATGTCGAACCTGTCAGCGAAATAATGCCGAGCAGACTGTCGCCGCTCAATACAGGTAGCTCCCCTCGCCCAGTCAGAGCCATCACTGCCCGACACTAGGAACATATGGCTATTTTGAAACCAAGCTCGTCATATTCATGCGTACATCTTGGAGGGTGTCCTCTGGCGTCACGTGGACGATATCTCGCGAAGGCAGCGCTGCGTCTTTCACCTACATGGCGTGGCGTCAGAACGACGGTGTTGCAATCGTTGTTCAAAGACACAAGCGGACAAACGCACCAACGTAGAAGGCCAATTGCCCAGGTGTTGACTGATCTGAGTAAGGATGCGGTGTTGCGTCAAGAGCCCCACGACTCGATCTTCAGTGTCCACAACCACAAGTGTGCTAGAGTTGTGATGTGCCGCCATCGTCTCGACTGCCTTGACCAATGTATCGTCCTCGCTCACAACCGACGCCTTTTGAGATCTCGCGACGCCAGCGACGTTGAGCAGGTCTGCGGCCGTCATGGAGCGCATGTGGCGCCTCCACTCATTGTTCCATGCCGATCGAGGTGCAGAGGGACTGCTTGGATATCGAATTCGCGCCATCCATCGACCCTTCATCACGTGAGGAGCAACTCGGTGCAGCATTGCGATCGGGTCTTTGTGATGCTTGGATTGCGTAGAGTTACAACCATTGAAAATAGTGTAAGAGTACTTGCTCGTTGAAATATACTAATAGAGTACTATTAATACTAGTATTAATACTAGTTACAACCATTGAAAATAGTGTACTCTTACACTATTAATACTAGTAGTACTACGTAGTACTATTAATACTAGTAGTACACAGTAGTAGTGTAATATTTAATATAGCAGTAAATTATTAATACTTACTATTAATAATACTATTAAAATAGTATTATTAATAGTACTACGCTGTATAAAGACCTTCAAATAATACTGGTAGAACTTAAAATAGATATTGTTAAATGTTTGTCTTAAGTATCAATTATTTATTCATTTATATACTTCCTCTGTTCGATATTAGAGCCGACATTTGACTTCTCAGTGAGCCTACATATTCAATTTTGATCCAAATTTGATGAATCGAACCACATTTGAAAGAGTATCAAAAACGGGAGGTAAAGTTCTTTGACGGAAAAGCTCTAAAAGCACGTCTTTATGCTCAAAAACTGCTTCGTTTTTTCGCACTTTTATAAAATTACAAATATCAGATCTTTGAGTTTTATATTTATTAGGGACTTGAGAAGTGGTACGTCGAAGTGTAATTGAAGTCACCCAGAACGTACGGATAACGTCCGGATAGTTTACAACACTTGAATTCACTATTGGCAAATGTTGCTAGTAAAGGTGATATGTCGGCGGTATATGCGAACAGAGGAAGTACTACTAATTAACAGTGAGTGGAAAACAAAAGCCAATACTAGTAGTGTGAGTCAACTCAATTCACAGTCAATTCGGTGGTTCGTTGCCATCAAGATCCAAGACATGATGGAGGACAGTAGTTTCGTCGTCGGCAAAGTCGAACTGTCCCGTGATGCGATGGCCTTCGAGGACATGTGGAAGCCAAATGGAATCGTCTGCCCACATGGAAGGGTACGGAATGGTGTCGTAGGTGTACCATTGGGGACGCATTTCGTCCGTTTCAGCCGGTGTGCCAGAGTACGCGCGGATTTGAAATACATGCACATGCTAACATTACATTAACTCGTACTATCAACGAATGCGAACATTCATAGCATCATTGGATAGGTTTTACCATGACTTCGGGTTTATCAGTGAAGGTGAACACAAGGGTGCCCACGCGCTCCATGTCTTTCCCATGCACGTCGACGCATGCCTCTTCCGTCATCTCACGCGCCGCGGCATCTTCGATCGTCTTGTCGGTCACTTCGACTTTTCCGCCAAAGCCGTTCCATTTGCCTTCACCAAACCCGCGCTTCTTCATGCCCAGCAGGACCTGCTTCTCACCTTGATGATCGCGCAACAGGAACGCCAATGTGTATTGCTTTACGCGGGCCGCCCGCTGCAGTGTCGACGTGATGACTTTGGCCGCCATGACGTGAAATGCAAATGGCGCGCACATTCGTCAACACGTTTCAAACACGTTTCAAACAAACGTTCAAAACATGTGTCAAACACATGTTATTGCTTCCAACATGTTTCAAACCGTTTGACGTTATCCGGATATACCGTATACTGTCAAGCAGTTGACTTTATCCTAGCGAAAGGTCACGTGACCTTTTGTATCGATTGACATTGGAGTGGACGTGCTGGCGCGTCCACTCCAATGTCAATCGATGCTGGGTCGATGACTTACTTGTCCTGCGAAGGAACTGCGCATGCATTCCTTTGCCCAAACATTAACCTCCTCTAGTCTGCATGACGCTATTTTTACCTTAGCCAATGACACCATAGTGCTACGTACTGGTCATCAAAACTTCGGCGACGCGTGTCGGACAAGTCGACTGCCATGAGCATTCGAGTGTACAACAAGGACCAGTTTGAGGCCTTGCAGCAAAATGCACTCAACAACTCAAAGAGGTACGAGGACATCCTGTCTAGAATGTCCTCGTCCAACAACGCGGTTACTGTTAGTCCAACCAGCGAGAAGCAGCGGACGCCGCGCTCGTCATCTGTGGTACGTTGGTCAAGTTGTATCTACCTAGACCCCTTTGAATGTGATATGTGTTGCAGGGAGGTGGCAGCGGTGGGTATCCGCACTCTGCCAAGACGTCCGACTTGTCCACCAACACACGGCAGGTACGACGACGACGGTGCTCTGCATTCCTCAGTGTAGCGAGCGTAGAAACGGCTCATGATGAAACACGAGCTGTACAAGAAAGATCAAGAGGACGTCCAAAAGCAAATCCAAGTCAACATCGCCGACTCGCTCACGAAACAGCGAAATAAACGCGAAGCCAACTATGTCAAGTTGCGTCGCGATATTGACGTATGGCAACAATGGGGGAAATGTGGTTCTAATGTCATTGGTACACCTTGTAGGAAGGCAAAAGCTTGGCAGAGGAGCTTGAGGAGCGACTATCGCTCAAAGAAGAGACGGCCAAGCGGCAGAAGCAGCGTTTATACGACGAATGGAGCGAAAAGGTGTTCAACAAGATCAACGGTCCCATCAACGACCGCGTCAAGGCCATGGTACGCATCCCGTTCCAAGTCAACGTGAACCTTGTCACAGTTTGGTTAGGATGCCAAAGCACTCAACTTGCACAAGCAAGAAGCGTACCAGCACTTCTTGGACACGGCCAACAAGAAGGGATGCCTCTTCCGAGACATCATCATTGAGAGCGAGTACGACCCCCTGCATGACAACAAGTCCATTCGACACGTCACACACGTGGACGACCCGTGTTGCCGGGTGATCAAGCACCGTGAAGAGGAGGTAGAACGACGACATTGTCATTGGACCACATGAACGTGGTTGGAGCAGGAGGCGATCGCGAACGAAGGAAAGAAAGTCTTAGACGACTCGATGGAGCCACGTGGCACTGGCACAGCGCCTTTGATCCTTGGGCGGTGCGACAACCTCGACACGAAGCTGTGGGCCAGCGGCATTTTCGAATCGACGCCGTACGGGTACTTCAACAAGATGATGGCGAGCACCATCAGCGCCGAATCGTCCAAGACATACGAGTCCCGCGTCAAGTTTGACCATTACGACATCGAGAAGGTTTGGCAATCCGAGAGGTAGATGGGAAGGATGAGGTCAATTTCGTAGGGCCTTGGCACGCTGAACAAGGAGTTCCCCAAAGGCAAGCAGACCACCTTCAACGGTGTCAGCGGGTTGAAGTCCAAGGACCAAGTACGCCTGGGATAGGCACCAGTGGAAGTCTTAGCCTGTAGAGGATCGTAGCGTGCCTACAGTAACCTGTCCATGCTGCAATTGCCATTGTGATGACCTTGGCGCGGAAATTTGAAAAACCTCTACAAAACAATATTAAGTATGGCAGACCAAGGTTGCTGTTGTGTGCTTTGTTCCAAGGCACGAAAAATAGATGGTGCCAACCAGCACCGCCGCAGTGCCGCCGCGGCCTGCATCCAAGTCGGCATCCCATGCAGATACCTTCACTTCTGGGAATTTGAATGGATCCAAGACGAATGACGACAGCTCGGACGACGAGGATGGTAGCAACGGGAGCAGTAGCAGGAGTTCTGCAGGAGACGACGACGACGACGAAGGGGAAAGTGTCAGTGGGACCGAGGGCGACACCGAAGTTGAGGTCGCAGACACAAAACAAGTCATCCTCTCGCCCCGCAAATCTTGTGTCCCTGTGCCAGCTGCCGCAACTGGCCCCATCGACACAAACAGCCCCTTGGGGATTCTACGGTCCATGGTGGAAATGGCGCAAACGTGTCACTTCCTGCTCGTGTTCGGTCCAACGCTGAAGATTCCGTCGATCTCCCGAACGGTACTTGTTCCCCTCCTGCGTCTCGTCCATGCGGACCTCGTACACGTCATTTCCCCGCGGAATGGCGCCGTTGGTCGTGTTTACGAGCTACCGTTGGCGTGAACTCGGATCAAATGTCCCTTCCCTCGATTCTCACGTTTGTGCGTCTCCTAGGAGCTAGAAAGCGGCATCATCGACGGCAACAAGAGCGACGCGTATCCACTCCTCGTCGAAGTCTTCTACCGCCTCTGTCGCGACGCTGGCCAAAAGATCGAAAAAGCTCGCATGTACAAACTACGACCGTCATGTCGTCATATGCCCACAAAAGTCCACAGAATGATTCCATGTTGTTCCGGCGTAGGCTACAAGAATGGGAGCGCGTGGTGCATCGCAAACTGGCGGACAATTGGCAACGCGAGTTCCAAGAGAACCCCATGCCCACGACACACTCGTTCGACGACGTGTCAGTTCGTGATCGGGTACTATCGTATCCTCGTGTTTTCTCTTTATTTGGAGGCGGTGCTCCTAACAATACGACCTATAGGCGCGCATCTTGCATGCGTTGTGCGAATGGCGGGTACATGCCAGCGACATCACCAAGTTCATCGCAGGCCTCTCCACATCAGCCCCTCTTCCGCCAAAGGACGACAAACACTCGAACACGACGACGACCGTCATCACCTATGCCTCCCTCGTACGTCGACCTTGGTCGTTCGAGGTCTTACTTGTTGTTGCAGCGACCCGAGGCGTTGGGCGAAGACGACGACGGGTCCATTTACTGGTACTTTCACGACGGGTGCTGGGTGTATGCTGAAACCGCGAGCGCTCACAGGTAGGGTTACCCTCCATCCCTTTCCGATGGAAAACGGATCTATCGACAGTAGGAAGCCCCCCCCGCCAGTGTACCACGTGCGGTACGCCACGCCATCCAAGATTCGGCTGTCGACGCATTTTGAACTGGAAAACAACGCTGGATTGGACACGTTAGTCGAGTCCACGCTGGTCGTCGCTCCGTCGTCGTCGTCGCTCAAGCGCAAGCGAAGCTCGTCCAAGAAAGAGCACAAGAGTGACTCGAAAAAGAAGAGCAAACGGTCACGCCACCATCGCAGCAGCAGCCGCCATCATCGGTCGTCACGCCACGACGACGACGAAGAGGACCCCGCAGTTCCAAAGCAGCTTAAAGCGGAGATACACGAGACGATTGTACCACCCCCGCCATTGCCCCAAATACCCGAAGAACCAGAAACGTCCAACGAAGACGCCGTCAAGCCGCCGCCACCACACGATCGATCAGACACGCATGTGCTGTGCTCCATGTGCAAAAAGTCGTACGACATGTCGCTGTTGGACCCGCCATTGCTGCGCAAGCCGCAGGGCGAATGGAAGTGCTTTGAGTGCCTCGTCAACGACTGCCGTGGGTGGCCTCGCCGCCGGCCATCTCGACAAGTAGCCCCACCGCCACCTCCACCTCCCACGGAGAAGACTAAAACATCGAAAAAGAAAAGTACCAGCAGCAGCAGCAGCCACAAGTCATCCAAAAAGTCTAGCCACTCGTCATCCAAGAAGAAATCGTCGTCTCGAAGACATCGATCGTCGTCGTCCTCTTCCCACAGCTACCCCGACGAGTTCAAGCTCTTGCTTGACTTGTACCACACGCGAAAACGGCAACGCGACGAGGCATTGGCCGAGTCTGTGGCGGCGGGCATGCCGCCAGCCCCGTGGCTGCTGCACACTGCCATCAAAACTGAGCCACGTGCATTGGTTGATGGGAACAATGTCGGCGGGTGGCGAGTAGTGAGTGCGTCCGTGGCCGATCTCAAGCTGTTGTTGGCCACAAAGTTCGTTTCGGGGTCGATGGCCCAGCAGCGGCTGAAAGGTCAGTTGATTCAGATTTTAAAAGCGGGCGAGGCCCACGAAGAGCAAGTGACGCGCCTGCGGGTGCATGAAGAACAGCAAATGATGTGGCAAATGCAGGCGTTGCCCCGGCGGGCGTCGTCGCGCGTGGCGTTGGAACGGCTCAAGAGTCAGAGCGACCCCCATGCTTCCAAGTCGGACGTACGTGTTTCATCTGTGGGGATGGTGGCATTTGACAACTCTGATGGGTAGGACGACACGGCGACGTGGCACGAGACGCTGCCTCATTCGACTGCCAACGACCGCGCATTGCGCCTCACTCGACGGACCAGCTCCGCCGACAATGTCCCCGAAGGCCACCAGAAACGCCGCTTGGCCATGGAACGGTACGGTTATGACTTTGAATATTGGGACTTGTCGACTCATCTCGAGGCGGGGGTAGCGCCCATCGCGCGTCGCGACGGCAGCGGGAGTGGGACGGGCCATCTTCGTCCGACGACGATGGCGACGTGGTGACCCCGCGGCAAACGCGACAATCTGCGACGTATGAGTCCCCCGTCAAGCAAGGCGAGTGGGTGAACTGGAACGCACTCCAAGTACAATTTGATCTTTTGTTTTATCAACATGCAGGTGTTTTGAGATGATATTGATGGCGGGATGTGGCTGTAGACGCACGCGCATCCGTTGCGCGTCGTGTGTGCGGCGCTCGTGACGCGCATGATTCAAGAAGAAAAGGCGGTATGTCATTGGATATGTGACAATGTGTGTGGTGACGATGGATGGCTGGTGTGGTAGCCGCTGTTTTCTCGCCCTGTGGACCCCACCGCCGACGGTTGTCCAGACTACTTGGCCATCGTCAAGCACCCGATGGACTTGGGCACAGTGAAGCTCCGGAGTCTGAACGGCACGTACAAGGTAAAATCAACTATATATATAAATATATCCACCCTCGTGAAATTGGTTGGTTTCTAGACGTGGGCATCGTTCAAGGTGGATATGGCCCGTATTTGGAGCAATTGCCGGCTATACAACTCGGAAGGCGCAGTGATCGTCGAGTATGCAAACGAGTTGGAAAAAATCCACTTGAATTTGGTCCGCCAAGCTGAAAAGCATGGCGTGGCAAGTATGACTGAAGACGGTACGAAGAAGCCAACGTCGAGCGACGACGACGACGAGTTCCACAAGAGCAGTCCTAGTCACCACGGCAGCTCCAGTAGCTCCAGCAGCGCTGACAGTTCCAGCAGTAGTAGCCACAGCAGTGATAGCGACGCCCCCAAACGAACTAGCAAACTTCGACTGCCACCCCGCCCTTCGTCCGTCAAACCCAAGGCTACACAGCCCCGCCCCCCCCCCCCACCGAAAGCCACGCCTTCGAGGTTGAAGAAACCACAACGCAAACCGCGCATCTCGTCCAGTTCGTCCTCCGACTCGGACGCCGCTGCCTCGTCGGCGTTGCCTCTAAAGCGCCGGACGACCCCCCCCACTAAGAGCAACCCGGTCCTTCCATCGAGGCAGCAGCACCCACCGCCGACTCGACCCCCCAAGACGATTGTTCAATCGTCGTCGTCGTCGTCGTCGTCGTCGAGTTCGTCCGGCTCGTCGTCTGAGGACGACTTGTCCGTGGCGCCGCCTCCCCGATCCCAACCCCCGCCGCCACTGCCCGCCAAGAAAAAGGCGCCGCAGAGCCCCCCACCGCCGCCCCCGCCGACGACCCCGCCCCCAATTCCCTCCGCTTTGGTGGACGGAAACGACTCGTCGTCGTCATCTTCGTCATATTTCTCCAGTAGCGACGACAGCGACTAATATCACGGTTGTTGAGTCAGTCGACAACTGGGACGATTGAATGCAACACAACGTTTTACTTTCAAAAGTTAGTTGTGCTACTCGTTCTTTGTTTAAATAGACAGACCACCTGGGCTGACAAGCCTATAATTTTGCTCGGACAACCCCGATACATACTACATAGTATGCACCCCCCCCCGCAAAACTAGCCCATCGACCCCGGCATGCAGGTCGTAGCTAGCTGGGCAACTAACTACCACAGCAACGTGTACGTGAGGGCAATGGCGATGGCAAGCCACAACACGTTGCTTTTGGCGGCGAGGAAGCGCAAATTCACGCGAAAGCCGTCGGACGGAGGAAGGTCCAGCATGGCATTGATTGCCACCGACACTTTGTACCACAGGCGCACCAGCGACGGAATCTCGTACGAACTGATGGGTTTGAGCATGGGGTCGCCGCGGTAGTGTACGGCCAGGTCCACGGAGCTGAGTCGTTTGCCGAGGCGGATTTGCGCTCGGCCTTGGGGGGTCAGCTCATGGTGCGAATCGCGAGCAGCGTCGAGGGACGCTAGGGAGAAGGCGCGGGCGAGAGGCGTCTGGAACGACGACGCGGGCACGACGTACGTGGACGGGATGTCAAAGACCGCGCGGAGGCGAGTGGCGGCGCGGTCCAGCGTCGCATCCAACGACGTGTCGGCCGCGGAAGGCGGCAAAGGCGACGAAGCGGACGCCGTGGACGAGTGGAACACGGACGACAGAAACAACGCCGCCGACGGTGGCTTGGGGTGCGTGTCCCGGGCATACTGGAGTTTGTCGAGAACGTGCTCGGCGTTGCGGCGAAAGTCCTGGGAGAGCGACACGGGGTACGGCGTGAGGCCAAATTCAGACAAGTGGCGGAGCAACACGTTGGTCTCGGCCGACGAGAGCGTCGTCGCGGAAGAAGAAGTAGCACCGGATTGGCAGGCCAAGAAGGCGTGGGCTTGGGCCAGCAACGCCAGCAACTCTGGCGTGTAAACTTGCAACGCGCGCTCGAGCATTTGACCCGTGGGGACGTCCCAGTCCAATTCGCGCGCGTGCACGATAAACACCCCAAAGAGCGTCGTGTAGAAATGGTAGTTGGCCAACACGTAGATGGCATATGCCGGCGAGTACGACGCCGAGGGGGGGGACGAGGGCGAAGTAGCCCAGTGCACACACTGCCACGGCTGGAGGTACGCGAGCAGCACATCCACCAACATACAAAACGACGTCGGGTTCGAGTCCGGGGCCGACCTGGCAAAGCCAATGTGGAAGAAATCGTAGAGGGGTTCTTGGATGGCTTTGAGCACGACGTGGGTGCTGGGGTGGACGAGCAGGGGGATATGGGGGTCGGCTAGTACGTGCACGACTGTGATGAGGAGGCAGCAAAGCACGTCGTCCGTGTGGGGTGTGAACTGGTCAATGGCTTTGACCACCGCGAGCGGGTGATGCAGGGCCGTGGCGTCGTTCGAGCCGTACGTGACTTGGTTCTGACGAAGCCAAATCTCCACCAGAAGGTTCAGGAACAGCTCCATCGATTGCTTGCGTCCACTTTTGAACGACAGCTTCTCTGGGCCGTGGGGCAAGAAGGATTCGAGGTACGCGAGCAGGAGCACGTTGTACGCGTGGCGATGTGTGAGCGACGTGATGCCTTCCTTGGGAAACGACGTGCGCCACCAGTAGTTGTTGGTCGAAGATGCCATTGGCGGCGAGGACGACGTGTTGGTCGCGGAGGCGTTTGTGGTGGCGGCGGCGGCGATCGGCCGTTTGAGTTTCGAAGTGGATACGGGGTACCGAAGGAAGCTAAAGAGAAAGTACGGCTGGATGGGCACCATGAAGCACTGGTTTTTGCCATTCACGCTGAGACTCGGAGACGAAAACATTTTGGCATACAACGGCGTCACCTAACGGGGGAAACTCGTGAGGGTCTGGAAAGGAACATGCTGTGACCAATGCGGAACGTACCGCGCCGGCGTTGCGCATTTCCACTTGCGCAGGCAGAGGAAGCAGCGTCAAGTCGAGTCGGAATCGAACGGCGTGCGAGATGTTGAAGACAAAGTCGAACAGTGACTTTTGGAACAGCTCGACCACGGCCTGGCCTTGTTCCCCCAAGTGCGCATTCGGGCCTTGGTTTGCGCGAGGGGACGTCGGCCGGGAAGACGAGTGAGCACCAGACGAATCACCCGAGGGACCATTGCTTTGTGGTACCGTGGCTATCCACGCCGAGCTGTTCTTGCTTTGAACGTCTTCGCCAAACACACGGTCCAACAACCGAGGAAAGAACGCAAAAAACTTTCGGCGACTGTCCACGGAATGCAAGTGTAGCGGCGTCGACAGTTCCGTCGTCAAGAGCTTCTGAAGCTTCGCGCAGGCCGTGGCCACGGACATGGCGCCGGGCTCTCCTGCATGCAGGAACTCGTCGAACTTGAGGTTGTCCATGTTGCGTGGTGGAGGTCGATGTTTACTGGAGTGTGAATTCCGGATATATCGATATATTTATCCGGAATTCAACCAGCCAATGACATGCCAGAGTTCGAATATCCAATTTAATATTCAAACCCGCCTCAATATTGCTTCAGGGTGTGCGGGCAACATGGGACCTACACAAGGCAAGAGTGCTGGCAACATGGGACTCGCACAAGGCAAGAGTGCTGCAATCGCGCCGCCGTCATCACCACCGTCGTCGCCACTTGCACACCCAACGCATGAACCGAATATGTTCACCTTTGACTTGACGCCGGTGTGCATTGGCCGAAGTCGCGACTGCGAGCTCTCGCTGTCGTCCGATGTGAGTTCGTCCCGCGTCGTGAGCAAGAAGCACGCGCGGCTGTATCCATGTATGTTTGAAAACAACCAACAAGTCAGGTGGTTCCTCAAAGACCTCGACAGCAAGCACGGCACAAGTGTGAACGGCGTCGACGTCAAGTCCGACTCGTCGGTCCAAGTGTTCGATGGCGATGTCATCGTTTTGGCGCGTCAACCGCATCCCCCACACGACGACGATCAGGACAACGCCAATCCTTCATCCCCTTCGATTTCCATCAAGTGTCACCTCCATGGTCGTGGCAACGCCTTGCTCACGCTGATCACGTCCACTTCGTTGAACCAACGGCACTCCGCCTTGCCCCATCCTTACAAACCTAGCCACAGCACTGACAAGCGTAAATTCCACGCAGCTACATCCTCTCCGCGCCAACCTTCCTCTGGTCGACCTCCTTCCGACATCGTGAAGAAGCGCTTCCGATCCCTGGAAGCAGACCCTGCCAACCATGACGAGTCGCCGCTCAAGTGCCCCGTGTGCTTTGAGTTCTTCGTCGACAGTTTGACGTTGGCCTGCTCCCATACATTTTGCGGCGGTTGTTTGCGCAGCTGGTTGTTGCAGTCGCTAACGTGTCCGACGTGCCGTGTTGGAGTCACGGACGTCCCCGTACGCACTCGGGCGCTGGACAACCTGTGCATGCAGCTGGTTGACCCCACAGACGCCGCGTGGATGCTACGCCAGCAAACGTGGCACGCAGAGGCGGCGCGGCTGACGAAGAAAGCCAAGAAGATTCGGCATGCGTTCCTCGAAACCAAAGCGCTTCCGTGGCCGAATGTGTGGACGACGTGGCATGACACGAGGGACCGTGAAGTGTTCTCGCAGACAGTGTCCGTCGCGGTTGGACAAGTTCGAGAAGCCTGGTGCGAAGCCGTCGGGCTCACCGAAGCTGCCATCGACAGCCATGGCAAGGCCAAGCTGTTGGTTGCGTCGTCGAATTTGCTAGTGGCCACAAATGGGAGAACACATCGCGGAGATGGACCAAGCACCGACAACCTCCGCCATCGACTTCGCATGTTCCTTCGGTACGGATAAGCGCGTCTTATTGATGGAATTGTGCCAAGTCTTGCGGTTACGGTTCGAACTGCGTTCAGATATGACGCGTTGTCGTTAGTTTGAAGGAGCAGAGTTTCTCTCTGTCGTGCGGTTCCAATGAGAGTGCTCAGCCTTCCTACCATATCTAGTCTTTCGTCCATTCATGTTCACCCTTCCACTCATATTGGCCACGCTTCCTCGCTGCCCATGTTGCGGTAACTTAACTCCTACTAGTACATGATTGGCTAAAGGGGTAGGGAAGTAGCTGTATACAAATCTCCATATAAACTCCCATAGCGTCCGGATAACACCGTCGCTCGTAAGGAACCTTCGTAAATTATATAATTACACCATTGCACAATATACTGAACAAAGTGAAATTAAATATAATATCATGGGGTCTTCCGTCAGCCAATGGCCGTCCGAATTGCAGTACTATCCGGATGCCGCGTCCAATTGATCCCTCTTCTTCTGCATCTCAGAACGAGCCTCGGCATTCCTGTGCAAGACCACCGACCGACCGTTGAAGTAAGCAAGCATCATGGCTGCCGTGGACATCGAGAGCCAACAGCTCCTCCTGCATACGGAAACAACGATAGCTGCATTTGACATCCCCAATAATGGTGGCGCCGCCGACGACGCCGAGACCGAAGAAGCCGAGGAAGACTTGGACGACGACGATGATGACAACTCCGTATCGCACGTCGCAAGCGCCAGTCTGGGCAAGCGCTTGCATGACGCTACCGCTTCATCGACTGCTTCTGACGGGAAGCGCCTTCGTCCGAACGACCCCGAGAGCGTCATTGATCTGGGCGAGGACGACGAAGATGATGAGGAAGACGACGACGACGATGACGACGATGACGATGTCGACAGCAGTGCCGTAAGACCGTACGCAAAAAATGGTTCGAAGCAGTTTATGAGCAAGGGCAATCGATCAATGGGACAGTTTGACGACAGCGAACCAGCGAGTCAGCAGCATTCGAACCTCCAGCGATTGCTGGATTCCATGGATCGTAAGACCAAGACCGAGCTGTTCTCGGACGCGCTGGAATTGTGCGGCAACGATCTGTTCACGGGCCACGAAGCATGGCAGGACCAGTTACTGCTGAAGGCGTGTCGGTTGCATCCTGCGTTTGTGAGCTCGATCAACGAACTGGCCCACCAGAGTGGATCTTACAACACACCTGTCGTTCTAAGTGGCGACGAGGACGACGAGGATGAGGAGGACGACGCGGATGACTATGACGACGACGCGTCATTTGCCCAAGACAATGGTGACGACAATGGTGACGACAATGATGACGACGACGCGCTCAATCTGGTCGAGGACGACGAAGACGACGAGTTGGAATTGGGCGATTTGTCCGACTTATAGGAAGAACGACGTGAATATGGCAGCTAGCTATCTATGTATGAAAGACAAGGAAGATCCAACTATGAACTTGCCACCCTCGTACTAGTTTGTGTACTACCAAAGTAAGTACACGCCTAAACCATGAACCTGGGCAGCTAACCAGCTACATACTATTATAGTACATATATATCTATGAAAGACAACCAAGACCTTGCCACTCGACCGACCAATTGTCGTAGCAAAGTACTCCTAGTACATGTACCTGTACGTGAAGTACATACTAGTAGTACGCATACACCATCAAAATCATTTGTGCAAAATAATCTTGCGTCGTGGGATATAACTTGTATTTTTATTGTATTTTCAGATTCCAAAACTTACATCGTATACTGAAAGCAAGATAGATAATGCCGCCGAATTTTCTGGCGACAGAGGTACTAGTACTATTAAACTATTAATAGTAGTACTACTCCGAGTAACGTACGATAGAAGTACATATGAAAAACGGCTGGTATTTGCAATAATATATCGAAACAAGACAGATATTCATGAAAAAACATATAAAAAATTAGGGTGTGCATCAGCTCGTTACTAAGCACGTGAGCTCATGGAGACGCACACCGTTAGTCGCGGTGCTGCTCCCCCACGTAGGCCACACACGCTACATAACGTTACACTCTTCTCCCACCGGGCAAGGCTGATGCATAAAGCCGCGCTTCCTTTGCATTCCAGTGTTGGTTCCTTGAACAACATGCCGCTTCCCACGCCGGACGGCACATGATACATGCTGGCCATGGTATAGATTTCGGTATGGTGGCAGTTTTGAAATTAAATTACACATCACAGCCATGTTTCCCATTGAATTCTCCATACAAAGGCAGTGTATTTTAATTCCAAACTTGCACTATACACTGTATTTGGCAAGAAAGTGTAACTTCTCCTAGGCAACAAGCCAAGTAAGCGCCCACGACCACGAGGTCACACCCCACGACATCATTTGCGATGCCACGGACAGGGTTTGGCGATGGAAGCTTTGCCATGTCCTTTGCGACTAGCTTGAAGAAACGCCGGCGATCGGGAGACGTCACCCAGACTTTGACGGCGCCTGGAGGGATGATCCTCGTCGACGATGATGACGACGATGACATCATCGACTTTGATGAACTGAGCACGCCACCTCCGATGTTGCAGAAAACCCCGCTGCCGGTGCCCCCGCAAAGCCTTGTCTTTCCACGCCAACATTCGCTTGGATATGACGTCCGCCGTGCCCACTTGGTCACGGACATCGGCGACCACGGCACCAAATCGTTCCGGTACAAGTCGCTGCAGCACGGAGGTGTACCATCGGAGCCGCATCCCGAGCGAGCGTCCAACACAGCAGCAACGACGGCCTCTCCCCTCGCCACGACCTTCCACGCGCTGCTTCGTCGTCGTGAGCGGGAAGCGAGTCGCGTTCGGCGCACCAGCAGCAGCGCCGCGCCAGGCCCGCCTCGGGACTCAGCCGTGTTGGAGAAACTCAAGCACGTGCATCCAATGGACATCGTGGACAAGGAACGATCCATCGCGCGGTACCTCCAGGAGCATCAGCGGTATACGTTCGCTCTCGTGCTTCGCAACACGGCCCAAGTGCTCGAGTACCTCCACGTCAAGCACCCGTATCGCAGCAACGTGCACAACGCAGTGAAACTGGCCAACCAAGTGCGCTTGATGCACGAAAAGGTGTGTCGGCGCCTCGTCCAGGCCGGCCTCGGCGTGATCCTCCTCGACAATGATTCGGTCATGACGGACGCGGACCGGACGTTCAACCCACAGATGATGCGCCAGTACGCGCCCACGAGCCAGATCTGCATCTTGGTCGATCCGTACAAGGACAAGGACCTGCTCGCGCACGAATTCAAGCGGGAAAAAGACGAGTGGGCCATCAAGAAGGGCTCGGCATCGGCAAAGTTGAGCGAGAACAGCTACATGGCGCCCAACTTGTCGTTTTCGCCAGCGTTAGAGCTACAGTTGACGCAAAACCTCATCACGAACGCGCTACGGGACTTCGACACGGAAGAGTGGGTCCAGGACATGCAGAACGACCTCACGCATTGGGACGTGATCGAGCATTGCTTTCCCCTGCACGACCGCAAGTTCAACGACGAGTTCTTTGAAGAGTACCGCAAGCGCACGTTTGACTTTAGCATGGCCAAAGCGACGACGGGCAACCGCGAGCGATGGGCCATCGAGGAGCTGCGGTTCCACTTTGGCGAGCGTGTGGCGTTCTTGTTTGCGTTCATGCACATCTACAGCAAGCTGCTGCTGCCGCTGACAGTCACGTGTGTCTTGTACTACGTCGTGTTTCGGTTCATGGGCGGGTTCGTGTGGCAGCAGTACTCGCAGGGCCTCGCGGTCCTCTCGTTCTTTGCCGCGAGTGTGTGGGCGCCGCTATTCCTTGTCTTCTGGGAGCGGGAAACCGCGTTGCTTGTGGAGAAGTGGAATGTTGGCGAGAAGGAGACAGCGTTCGACGCCAACGATGAGAACCCCATGTTCCAGTACAAGTGGGGGCGCAACGCCATGACCAACAAGATGGAAAAGGTCGCACTGTATCGCAATAAAACTGCGATGCAGTTTGTCATGCTCGGGTTTGTCGGCCTCAGCATTGTGTTTCAAAGCATCTGCACTTTGCCGTTCATCCAATGGTACGTATACGCCAAGACCGTGTACACCTGTGACACGTGTCGGACCGTGGCAGGCGCGACCTGCTGGCAGATGGCCACGTGCTTCCACTCGGCCGACTCGTCGTTCGGAAGCGATCGGTGGTGGTATATCCTCATGCAAGGCGCGATCCTCGGGTTACTCATTGACGTCGTGTTCTTCGAGCTGTTCAACTGGCTGTCGGCCAAGTTTGTGTCGTGGGAGAACTACGCGTCCAAGTCCGAGTTTGACAACCGCCTGGTGCATCGGCGGTTTCTGTTTGTGTGGATGAACTGGTTCTTCTGGTTCCTATTCCTGGCCTTTGTGTACTTGCCGTTTGGCGAGGGGATTGTACGGTACCTCCAGTCCCCCGACAACAGCTCGACCGTGCCCGCGTTCGTCCAGAGCATCTTCAAAGCCGTGAATTGGGACCCGGCCGTGCTTACGCTCGACACGCTGTTTGTCACGCCCCTCGTCATCACGCAGTTTCTCAATATGCTCATGGAAACCATCTTGCCGTACCTCGTTCGAAAGTGCAAGGGCAAACCCATGCACTGTCGCCACGCTGCGTCGTGCTGCCGTGTCTCAGTGCCCCGCGTGTTCAAATGGCTCGTCCGGCACGTCCAAGCACCCGCCGACACCCCCCCGACCGCCGTCAACTCGAACACGAGTGCCCGCGCCCTCTGCGATGCCATCTCCCACACATCGCGGTACTTTGTACCGCTGCTGCTCTTCTCGGACGACTCAAACGGGTACACTGCGTACAACATTGTGGCCGACGCCAAGCTCTCGCCATTCGACACGACGTTCGACTACCTCGATGCGTCGATTCAGTTTTCGTACGTGGTCATGTTTACAGTCGTGTGGCCGTTGCTGCCTTTCCCAGCGTTCTTTAACAACTTGCTCGAAGTGCGCGGCGATGCGTTCCGCCTCTTATTTGTTAGCCGCCGCCCCATGCCCCGACGCGACGTCAGCATTGGCGAGTGGGCGACCGTGCTCTCGTACGCCAACATCATCGGCATCACGGTCGTGGCGGGGCTCATATCCGTCTACCACTTTTCGGCATTTCTCGACCACGGGTGCAATTTCGAGTTTGCCACCGCCGCCATGGTGCCCATCTCAGCGTTGAATTCGACGTTGGCGCTCAACCCTGTCGCATGCGGGCTCCAGAAGGACACGTCGTGGGTGATGCCCCAGATCATCGTGTTTGTTTTACTCGAGCACGCTGCGTTCTCGATTCGGTACCTCGTCCTCCAGATCAACAAGGTACCGTCGTCGATTGCTCTGAGCCGCAAAGTAAAAGCGCTCGAAGCGCTGGGCCATATTCGGTCGGCGCACAATGAACAGTTTGACTGCTTGCGCCAACTCCGCGTCATGTTCGACAAGTATGACACCGACGGCCGCGATTACATTGACAATCCCGACGTGCTCCAGGCGTTTGTGGCCGAGTGGACCGGCCGGCCCGCCTCGGACATGATGTCCAAGGACATGCTGTTCCACTACATGGACAAGACCCGCGTCGGCCGCGTGTCGTTTGCGTCGGCGTCGCTGCTGCTCATCCACGTCCATCACGACCGCTTCCTGTCACGTATTTTAGGTATTGCCGACTGGCTCGATGACTTTCAGAACGCGCAGATCCAACATCGCCCCGACGACCTCGAAGAATGCGACGACGACAAGGAACTCCGGCCATCGCATCTAGACCAGTGGCGGGCGCGAGAACGCGCGCAGTTGCACGACTACGATAGCCTCGCCTAAATCGTCGGTAGAAACATGCCAAAGTGAAGTAGACAGTCATGCCACTGGTGGTTGTGTCCATGTCAAAGCTGTGACACGGTACGATGTGATGGATTTCGTGGGGCACAGCGTTCCAGGACCGAGCGGTGAATAACGATCTCTGTACATGACTCATGCGCGAGGCCAACGTTACGCAGAACGCCATATACTTAGCTACACTTGAACAACGGTGTCGCATGATTGTTATTTATGGCGGGGTCAGTTGATAGGGTTGACGGCGCGAACGGCGTCGGTGGTTTGCCGCGCCAATGTGGCGGCATGGACGTATTGTTCGAGGACTACACGAGATGAGATGATAGGGTTTGAGGACGAATGGACAAACCTCGAGAGAATTGGAGCTGGGCTGCGCGGAGATCCTGGGATGGCATTGGTGCGAACCAAAACACGGGCGTGGGTAGAGTTGAAGGGGGCGACGGGGTCGTCGCACGGTCATGAGGAGGAGGAGCCTCGTCGTGAACACTGGTAGAGGAGCTCTTTGGCTTGCGATTCCGTAGGGCGGCCGCTTTCGTAGCGTCCGATGATGTTCTTTCCGCCAAACGTTTCTCTTGTTGCAAGGTTGTATTATTGTCTCGCTCTTGGTCCCAATTCTTGCGAAGGTGAAATTCCTTGCCTACAATGGACACGCCAGTGGTGGCATCGAAGACTTCCTTGAAGGAGAGCGACGACAACACATCCGTCGCCACGCTGCGCTTCGCAGCAGATAGCTTGAAGAAGGCATCGCGAAGGGCGTTGGATGCGTCCAATGCTGATCGACTGTACTTTGCGGCGGCATCAAGACTCATCAGGAGTAGCGCATCGTCGTCGTTGTCCATCGTGCAACAGGTTCACGTGTCTCCCTTCATCATCCGGATAAGGATTCGATGAAATGGCAATTGCTGATTGGCTGATTTCCTTGTGCATCAAATGCGGCATTCGGCAAAGTGCGTTTTCTATATGTTAAATAACAAATTTTATAACCCAACAAATCGTTACAGCACCCTATTATTACTATAGTACGTATTGGGATTTCGAGGTCAAATGTTATGTCGTGACATGTCATGTCATATATTTCACGTGATATCCTTTTGTAACTTGAAATTATAACGGTTGAAGTGGTCCTGGTAGTATAAAACTGTAAACTGGAAACGGTCCCATCAACACAACCACAATGCTCGAGTCAACATTGTTGATTTGCACATTTACTGGATGGCCACTGGCAGTACCAAGAGATTCCGCATTGAGTAATATGGCCTCCTTACTACCAGCTATTTTCTTCACCGAGCTGTCGGCATGCCCGCGACTGGTCGTCGTCGGCGAGCAATGACTTGCCCTGCTGGACTGGTGGACGCCAGTCTTCGGTCCAGTTACACACGAGTGTCATAGTTTATTCCGTCGCACGAGTAATCGACTGTGATTGGCCAACCAATTGTATCAGAAATATTTCGACCAATCGAATCGCTAGAAAAAATGAAACGCCAATGTCAAATTTGACGCGGTTCCAAACGTCTTGTTCCAGCTGGTGGTTTGATAAAGTACGCCGCCGTGGAGCGAAAGCCAACGAGACCAGTCAGTTCCAGTTTTACTCCTTCCAACACACCACATCAAGATGGCCTCCCGCAAAGCTACCACGTTCGCCCAAGCTTGGCTCAGCGACACCGCTGTACGTCCTGCTTAAAGCTGGCCAGAGCTCGTTGTTCTCCATGGCTCATGTCTGTTGTAGGCGTACCCCATCATTGCCGTCATCGGTGGTGCCCTCGGTTTGACTACGTTCAGCAGCATCCGCTACTTGTCCGCGTCCCCTGAAGTGCACTTCAACAAGGCCAACCGCGGCAACCCCGTGATCTCGGAAGAATCGGCCAAGGGCTGGAACAGCCACCGCAACGGCATCCGCACGTGGTCTGAAAACAAGATCAACCAGCACCAAAAGGCCAAGGGACTCCAAGGTCTTTAATTAACAGCGTTGGCTTCCTTCCACTTGCACATATGGAGTGAATCCGATAACTCAAACAATAATGACGTCCACGTACAATTCATGACAACTTGGCATATCTTTGCACCAGCAATATGCATGTTCTATGACCATCCAGCCGTGCACGCGTCTTTGCAGCATAAATATCAAGGTCTCCCCCGACGCCCCAACGAACGTCATGGTGTAAATTGCATCGAGTTGGCCTAATACCGGCTTGGAGCATTCAACCAAGGGCTTACGATGAAATTCCATTCCACACATAGTACATTGAAACATCGTTCTTGACCACGCGCCACATCTCAAGGGCACACACACAACCGTGGACTCCGTACTTACTCGCACACTCCACGGGTTTCGCCTGCCCCCCCCAGTTTCGTTCCAGCTGCATTGATGGTACATGTCGTTGTTTGCATGCGCATCACGTGTCTTTGTGCAGGGTGGTGCCCCCTGAATTTCCGGCACATCCTGCGCACCTAGCGATGGCACACGACGTGACGTGGCTGCGGCTGATTGCGAGTGCGTGGCCACCTACCTACCTGTACAGTAGCCAGCCAGCCATTGCAATCTCCTTGATTGCCATTCCAAAATCAGACACACTCTCACTTGCTCACCACGTTTCCAACCCATGTCATGCCAATGGGACTTGGACACTAGCTAGAGTCGTTGCCATGAGTACTATGGACACTTTGAAAGGATAGTGCTGTTTGCGAGGACTGACTACCCGGTTGAACCGTTAATGGAAGACATTTGAACGGAAATCCAAGTCAATACCTTGAGTGGTCAAATGCGCTAACTTACTGTACGGGTACTTTACTACTTACTGTACAGTAGTAAGCGCTCGCCGTATAAATACTAACTACTAGTATTAATTTTAATACTAATCTTACTAATCTTACTAGGTACTAACCATCGTGGGTTAATAGCGCTCGCCGTATATATACTAACTACTAGTATTAATTTTAATACTAATCTTACTGCGTAGTACCTCGAAGTACTAGGTACTGTAGTAGTACATGTACCTAACGATTCACAATACTAATCATCGTGGGTTAATTCCACTGCTCGAGATGATACTACTTAGTTTAGTACATTGGAGGAAAACAACTATTCTATTCATTAAATGGGTTTGTTGGAGTTTGGAGTCCAAAGGCACGCAAGAGTTTACATCATGCCGCCCATGCCGCCCATTCCACCCATGCCACCACCGGGCATGCCGCCGGCCGCGGGGGCGTTTTCTTCCGGCAAGTCGGCGATCAAAGCTTCCGCCGTCATCATCAACGACGCCACGCTGGACGCGTCCACCAGCCCCGTGCGCACGACCTTGGTGGGGTCGATGATGCCGGCTTCCACCATGTCCACGTACTCGCCAGTTTGGGCGTTGAAGCCAAACGTGGGCGAGCTCTGTTCCAAGAGCTTGCCGACGATCACCGCGCCTTCTTCGCCAGCGTTCTTGGCGATTTGCGTCACTGTGGACCGGCACGCGCGTTCGATGATTTGGATACCCACCTTCTGGTCCATGTTGGCCACGTTGCCGTAAAGAGACTTGAGGTTGCGCGACGCCCACAAGAGCGCAGAGCCGCCGCCAGGCACGATGCCTTCTTCGACGGCGGCGCGGGTGGCGTTCAAAGCGTCCACGACGCGGTCCTTCTTCTCGCCCACTTCGACTTCGCTGGCCCCGCCAACCTTGATGACGGCAATGCCGCCGCCCAACTTGGCCAAGCGTTCCTGCAGCTTTTCCTTCTCATAGTCGGACGTGGAGCCGGCGATCGAGTCCTTGAGCAGCTCTACGCGCTCGGCAATGGCGTCCTTGGGCCCTTCGCCGTCCAAGATCAACGTGTCGTCCTTGGTGATCGTGACCTTCTTCGCCGTGCCGAGGATGTCGGGCGTGGCGTTGTCAAGACGCAACCCGACGTCTTCACTGATCACCTTGGCACCGGTCAGCACGGCCATGTCTTGGAGGCCGGCCTTGCGGTTGTCACCAAAGCCAGGGGCCTTCACGGCGCACACCTTGATGCCCGCGCGGATGCGGTTGAGGATCAACGCCGCCAACGCTTCGGACTCGACGTCTTCGGCGATGATGAGCAACGGCCGCTGGGCCTTGTACACAAACTCCAACATGGGCGCGATGCCTTGGGCAGACGACACCTTCTTCTCGACCAAGAGGATGTACGGGTTTTCCAATTCGCACGACTGGGTCTTGCTGTTGGTGACAAAGTAGGGCGAGATGTACCCACGGTCAAATTTCATGCCTTCGACGACTTCCAATTCGTTGTACAGCGTCTTGCCGTCTTGGACCGTGATCACACCTTCGCGGCCCACGCGTTCCATGGCGTCCGAGATCAAATCGCCGATCTCCTTTTCGCTGTTCGCAGAGATCGTGGCCACTTGCGCCACCTTTTCCTTGTCGTCAATGTCTTGCGACAGCTTGGCCAATTCAGCCACCACATGGTCCACAGCCAACTGAATGCCGCGGCGCAAGTCCTGGGGGTTCATGCCAGCCGCGACACTCTTGCAGCCTTCGCTGTAGATAGCGCGGGTGAGCACCGTGGCGGACGTAGTGCCGTCACCGGCAGCGTCGTTCGTGTTGTTGGCCACTTGGCGCAACAATTGCGCACCCATGTTTTCGAACTTGTCACGGAATTCAATGTTCTTGGCCACGGTCACACCATCCTTCGTGATCTTGGGCGCGCCGTACGCTTGGTCGATCACGACGTTGCGCCCCTTGGGGCCGAGCGTGACCTGGACGGCATCGGCGAGTTGATCGGCACCCTTCAACATGAGGGCGCGGCCTTCCACACCGAAGCGGATGTCCTTGCCCGAGGCAAAGAAGCGCTTGGACACGGAGCGCGCCATTTGCGTTTGGACTTGCTTGGAGAGCATGATGTGTGGGGTTTTTGCGAACTGGAAAATTGCAAACTGCGCTCGTCCCCATGTTGAGTTGAATCCATGGCCAACCCTACCCGCGATCAAATTTCAGAGGTTTTTCCAAGGATCACTACTCAACCCATACAAACATCAAGTGAATTGCGTTTGCCATCAACATGGCCGTTGAAGCCTTTCTAGAAAAGTCATCGACTCGACTACGAAGTGCTGCGGTACCACATACAAGTTGGATATGCTACTACGGCGACGTCATATCTGTACATCAAGGGCACAAGCCACGGCAAGTCCACGGCGTTTTGACCCTAAAGTTGGAGTGGCAACCGATTGCACATCGAGTTGATGCAAGGCTTCGGCAGCATTCGAGACCTTAGAGGTATTAAGTTTGGCAGGAATGTGATTGACTGCCACTCATTCAGAAAATTCAATAATTGGGCCAAAAGATCGTTTGCGAATCTTTGCCATCGCCATGAGCAATGATGAAGGACATGACGAAGTGGCGGGAAGGAACAAGGCTAGCGACGTAAGTCTCATGCATGCATACTTCTCTATCAGGTTGCATGCACAAATGCAGCCAGCGTCCGAGAACCTGACGGAACTTGGCGTACCAATGTACATGGCGGCAGAGGCGTGGCACTGGGCTGTGGTACAGTAGTTTGCATGTTCGTGAGCATTGCAATAGATGCGATGGGGAGATGCTGGGCGTAGCAACTACATGCATCGTCTCGATCGGAAGCAAGATATGATGATGGGAAACTATTAACTCTTTGGTTACAACGACGTCAACAGTCGCTCGACGGCAGCATTTTCGTCGCCCTTGGTTTCCGCCAAAGCCTGGCGCACTTGGTCCTACGCATGTTTCAACCGTTAGAGCATGTACATCCCCCGTGTGTGCTGGATTCACCTTGGGAAACCCCATGTCCACAAGGCGCTGAACCGCATCGCTGCCGGCGTCCCCTTTCTCCGTGGCGTAGCTTTGCGTCCAAAACGCCGCCGTGTTGTTGAAGCGGTCTTTGTCGTTAATGTACATACGCGCCACTTCCGCGTCCTATAGCATGGAGTATTGGCGTGAACACACTGAACAGTTGGACCCACGACCGTGGAAGGGTTGCTTGCGTACCTGTGGGTCGGTGGGTTCAGCGGCGGACAACAACGCTTGGATGGACAAGAGCGTGGTCTTGATCGTCAAAGCAGGTGACCACGCATCTTTCAGAATGTCCTACGAGGTCACATGATGAAGCGATAGCTTCTTGAAGCATAAACGATGTTGTACCAGGCAAATCGCCCCCGTTTGCGACGAAATGTTGGGATGCCAGATCTTTGTGTCAAAGCGAACTTTCGGAGGTTCAAACGGGTATGTCTTGGGGATGTTGATTTCCAGCACGAAGTGGCCGCCTTCGTACGGCGTGCCGGCGGGCCCGCGGATGGTCCCCACGAGCGCGTCATACACGCCGTCCGTGCGAAGCGACGCCGACACTCCGGACACTTCAACGCCTCGCTGACACTCTTCCAGTTCCTTTCTGATGCGTCCTGATTCAGCGTGGCGTCAGTCACGACGTGGACACAGAGCGATAGCGCGTTCCCTACCTGCCATCACAACGTTGCTCCACCGAGAAATGCGCCGAAAGTTGCGGTTTGGTGACTGGGTTGCTTTGTTCTCAGGGTCCAATTCTGCACCACTTTTATTTATTACAAATGGCCCGTTACTACTAGTACATACAAATTCCAAGTCAACAAAATTGCAACCCCTTGAAATCTTGCAATTCTCATCGAATATTTTCCGTTCATGTCAGTAATATGAATAAATATACCTTCTGGCGAGCGCAATCCGTGCCACAAGTCCTTATGTAACTATGCAGGCACCTGACATACAGTACTACATTTGTAGGCTACGTAAATTCCATCATGCGCAGGGCCTACTGTAACATGCCCGAGCTCATTGCCAACTGCATAACGTTAAGAATAGTATTACGTCGAAGTATTAATAACAGTGTAAATTCCACGAATCCCAAATCTCACAGTGGAATATCCAATCCGGTTAATTTTGCTCGCCGACTTTGCAGTTGGGAAACCGGACGCGACCGTTCACGTAGGGTACGGCGTGAATGGACTCGAACATGTGATATGTGGCCCAGTTGGATTGGATGTTGGCCACGGCAAAATAGGTCGAGTACACTCCGAGCACGGCGCTGACGGCAATGACCACGTACGAGAACCCACGGGTGGCCGCGCCCATCCACGTCCCGTCGGGTGCAAACATGCGCAGAAAGCACACGCACGGCATGATCAGGCACGGAAGAGTCACGGTCGTGGCCCCGATGAGCGTGAGGATGTCCGCGAACGACGTTTGAAGCATCACGGCCAAGAAGCACTGAGCTGCCACGATGAACGTTCGCAGTAACATGCGGCAAACATGCTCGCCCGCTGTGAACGTCAGCGAGTCGTGCAGGACATCGCGCACGAATTTCTACCACACGAATCAAGTTGTTAGTGAGGTTTATGAAAGGGCAACAACCATGAATCAAGGGGCGAAACTCAATGAGCTAGCTACAGCTATACTCGAAGTGGAAATAATGTAGCCATGGAAGTGACAGAATCAGAGCCAGAAGCAGGTCGGAACAGTAGAGGCTGACTCAGGGGAATCAGATGCACACACGAAGGACTTACATCATGCTGTTCGGTCGACTCGACCGACTTGTACTCTGAAGTATTGTGCTTGACGTGCATCAAATGCGCACTCGCTACGGATGAAGGTGACGATGGGTCGTCCGGTGACGTCATTTTGTCCTTTGTCTCGTCCAGCAGTTTCTCTTTGAGTGTGTCGACGTCGCTGTCCTTGCCAAACACGCAGCGCTCGATCACAAACAGCGTCGGACTCATGATCACGGGGTACGCAATTGCAATGTGCACCAACATGAACGCATTCGCGACAACTTTCCACGAGCCTCGTGGCATCGCCTCCAATAACGTGGTGGGGGCCATGCATCCAAATTGGGCGTACGTGAGGATGCCAATAAACATGTACAGCACCGTCACGTACACGAGGGTGGTGCTGACAGTCGTGACCAAGTGGTGGCTGCCCACGGCGGAGCATTGCCGATACAGCGGAGGGATGAGCAAGGCTGACCCAAATGCAAACATGATGCTGCCGAACGCAGAGAACGCCGACGACAACGACACATGCGACTCGCGCGGTGCCAGCGGTCGCTCCACAAAGTTGACGGTCAACGCAATGCCGTCAGTGCACAGCGTCGAGAGACTTCCGAGGATGCAAAGGACTGCCGTGTCGCGCAAGGTCGGAATGTACACGAGAGGTAACATGCAGATGGCCGTGGCGATGATCCATTGCGTGGGCGTGAGGTGGACGTCGATGCCAACGGCGATGTTCGGCAGAAGTTCGGTGCCTGCCAAGACAAGGAACGCAATAGGTGTGGCCAAGCACGACAGGGCCTCTGACACGACAATGATGTACCTAACCAAGTGAAGTTGATGATACAGTCGTGTGACTTATGGACGTACTTGCCGACGTTGCCGCAGACGTGGAAACCAAGGTCGCCGAACGTTCGAACGTGCGTGGGTACCACCGTCATGCACCGACAGAGGAGAGAGCTAGTGGCTCGGTTAGGCTAACTGTAAACTCAAAGATGGAAGAATAACCTGGCGTGGAGGTTGCAAGCAGAGAAGAAGTAGAGCACTACCGAGCCTAGGATCGATCCCGTAGCTGCGAAGATGTGTCCCATGCTCAGAGAGCCCACGCCAAACGTGTACGTGAAGAGCATGAGCGCGTTGCGTGTATCTTCGTCCACCATCGCTCCGTCGCCGCCACCACAACCTTGTGCAACCTTTCGCCAACGTTTCGGAATCCTTGGGCTATCCGAATAAAATACACCATCCGGAAGGGTCATCTGACCTTCTCAAAATGACCGACGCCAATATCCGCAAGCAGCTCTGGGAAGGCCACGTGCCAGTGTGTTTCTCCATTGATGCATCGGAAATCACGACGCTCCAAGTTCCTCGTCCATACTACGTACACTCGTCCTTGCATTAAGAGGACTGTATACAGCTACGGTAGTCTGATGCTACACTGCGTGCGTGCGTGATGTAGGCAATGGTTCCGCGCGTGAGTTCACTCATGTGTGCTGCAACGGATGCCGTAATCAACCACTTCAAAGACGTTGCGCCCCCCATGCTCTCAAGCCAGCTTTCTCGCTACGTTTGGTTCGAGTTCAAGGGATTGCCGCTTAAATGGTACGACGTACCATTTCTCCAAACGTCACTAACTCGGCTTCTTGTCAGGCACTTGCCGTTTGGTGTCCTTTACGACCTGCATGGTGATGACATGCTGCCGTGGGAAGTCACAGTGCACTTTCAAGGCTACCCATCGCAACATGTGCGTCTCCTGTCTACGTCACATGTATATCATCACAACCCGTTGAAAACTAGTTGCTGCCATGCGACAACCTGCAGGCCGTCGAAATGCACTTCATGAACAGCTACAAGCAAGTACGACATACTATTTCACAATTGTAGTCGCCCCCATCCTCCTCTTCCCTATACAAAAGGAGGTATAATCGGGTCTCCTATTGTTAGTCCATGTTTTTGCTGTACGGCAGCACGAAATGGATCATGAACTTGCCGCAGCAAAAGCACACGCAACTGTGGGAAGGCCACGTCAAAAGTATGAAAAAATTAGTGACATCTCACCACTGTGACATATGCCCCTAGACGACTTTTCGATGTTCGAGTCCGTCCACGCCACCCTCGTGCCATCGTCCGAGCCCAAGCGTCACGTGCCGCTACGAGTGCTGCTTCCCCACGAGCCCACGATTCAATTGCCCATTTCACCATGTTAGACATCCATGATGACGTTATCCTTCCGACGGAAGATTGAGTTTGGTCACTGCATGTAGCGTTGACCAGTGTCCGCGACGTCCTGTCGCATCTGCTGCCGGACATCGACTTGGACGCGGCCGCCGTCCGCCTGCACGGCATCGACGTCGAACTGGAGCTGTCCATGAGCGAATTGTACAGGCACTTTGCCTACCCCGATGGTTTTTTGTACATTGCCGTCGTTGCTTAAGTTAATCTTGTGTTTGGTCTTGCTAAACTAGTAATACTAGTAGTAGTAGTACTACTACTACCCCATGTTGATGCCTTCGTACGTGGGCACCATGTACTTGATGTTCACGTACGCGTCCGGTCCCCCCACGCGCTCCATTTTCTCCAACGTCGTTCGTACGAGCTCTCCCAAATCTATTAACATTTGAATGGTTCCGAGAGTATTGGTAGAACTTTGTACCTTGGTTGTGGCGCTGACCAAAGTCCATCGAGTCGCCGAGGTTGTGTCGGCTATTCTTGAAGAGGTTGAGGGTCGGAAGCAGTTGCCTACGCACCAAGTGAGTATGTACGTTGGTAACGTTCCAGTAGTGCGGTAGTACCTGTAGTACGGCACTAGAGCCACGCCAATACCCTCAACGTCCAGCAAGATTAACATGACCTTAAGTGTTTCGCACACGAGTTTATGGTCGCGAGTGTTGAGTGCCACCCGCAGCGGCGCCACCACTTTGTGCAGGCACGCGTGGACCTTTTCAGGGTGTTGTCGACCGTACTGAAGCAACTCGATGGACCCCTTGGACGCCAAAAAGCGATACGGCTCTTGCGTTTCCCTCGTGCCTAATAACCAATCCCCCATCCACATATTTAGCAAAGTTGCGAGCAGACATTTTTTACATGTGCTCATGGAGCCATATATAAGCCTCAATGAACGAGGCATATTCTTCTTCTGAACGCACCGTCCAAGAAGAGCGGCAACATCACGCCAAAGTCAATGTCGGGCAATGGTTTGGTCCACCGAAGTGCGTTGCCGCCAGTCGTGGGCTCGATGCAAATGGGCACCGCCCCTACATTCCGCAGTGTTACATTTGAATCCAAACCAGAACAACCCAACCGCGGGTGTACGAGCTAGGGAAGTTTGAGCTAGGGATAGGGCGCTTCTTGAATGCACCGGCCACCTGAGCGAGCATGTCAATCACAAACATGTAGAGATATCGAGATAGGCGAGGGTTCATACCGGAGGCAAAGCATCGCGTGCGTATTTGTCCTTGTGCTTTTTCAGAACGACTTCGTGCTCGACGTATTTTCGAGTTGGGGACGGGAACTGCAGGGTTTCCATGATGTCGCCTCGCTCTTTTTTGTATGACTTCTCGTGCAAGTTCAGGTTGTCTAGCCGAACATTCGCCACCGGATTGCGCTTGTGGTGACCCTTGCTTCCCCGCGCCTTTGCCTTGACCGGCGACTGGATGCCGCTGTACACGACCGCCTTCGGGTCTGCTGCGAGCTTCTTTTTCAGTTTGATCTCCAGCACCCCCGCTACACATGACAGAAGGTTGACATGACAATAATAGATGGAGACATCGCCCGACGCACTTCCGGCAATGCCTGGGTGGTTCTTCGTGGACGCGGTGCTGATCACGGACGACGGCATGCCGGCGGCGCTACCAACTCCCCCAAGCGTCGAGGCCAATTATAACCCCCGTACGTTCTGCATTCAGCGTCCTATTAATAGCGATCAGACAGTGCGTGAACGTACGCTGTTCCATTCATGCCAAACCAGGAGGACCCAAAGGTTACTGTATTCTTCGTGGTTATCCATTCTACTTCCCTTCAAGTGTTTGCCCAACTCGATGTGAATCACCATGTGGCTACGGGTGCTGGTCGTCGATTTAGCTTCAACGAGGACCGCTGCCATATTTGAACTGCGTGGGTTATCGGTTACATGTAACGAAAATGTGAAGTGCCATTATCAACCACAAACGTTTATCAACCACAAACGTTTGCAATGATCAAACTGAGTGCGCCCATTGAGTGGCTCTTGGCGTTGGGGTCTCTATGGTGCGTTGTCAACGTGATGGTTTTGGACTGGCGAGACGATCGGGTGGACGTAGTGCCGACGCAACAGAGTCGTCCCATCCTTCGACGGCCCCATCCAGTGCAATTCCGTGGTCAGAGTGCAGATTTGAACGCATCGATTGGCGCCAACGACGGTGCTGTCTTGGCTGCGTCCAACGACGAGGGGAATACATACTTAATCGACACCATCGAGACATCGGCAACCCCCGACGAATCGGTTGAAATCGCCAATGCCATCGACATTGCGCCTTTGTCTCCATGGTCGAACACCTCGGATTCCACCCGACATGCGACCTTGCTCAACGACACGGCCATGCAAACCGACGTCGTGGCTGCAATGGAATGGGCATGGAAAGGCTATCGGACGTACGCGTTTGGCCACGACTGGCTCAACGTCGTGACGATGGCAGACCAAGGCGAAGGTCACGACATGGCCCTGTCTCTGGTGGATTCGCTGGACACGCTGTTCCTTCTGGGTCTCCTGGACGAATTCAACGAAGCAGCGGACTGGGCCGAGGCGAACATGCCCGCTCGACACACGCAGCCAGGGCGCGTGAGTTTGTTTGAAACCACGATCCGCAACCTCGGGTACTACGTTATTGTACATATGTATTCAACTCAACCGTTTTGACCTGGGTGTGCAGGGGGTACTTGTCGGCGTACCACTTGAGCGGTCGACCCAAGTTGCTGGCCCTCGCAAAAGACCTTGGCACCCGGTTGTGTCGCGGGCTAGACAAATCGGCGCTGCCACAATCCCTCGTGAGTCTTGTGGTGAGTAAATCATGTCCAGATACAGATATGTCGTGGGATCTGAGACGACGACGTGTAGGACGGATCGACGTCCGACGCGAGTTATTTGGCGGAATTCACAACCATTCAACTCGAGTTCAAGTACCTCAGCACACTCACGGGCGATTCCACGTACGCCAATGCCGTGGAAACCATTATGAACAAGGTAAGTGACTGCCCTCATTCGTGGCAGCTGGTCATGGGGTCGACTATATAGGTCGCGCGAATTGTGGACGCAACCTACCCCAACGGCATTTTACCTGTAATTGCAGACTCGTACAGTGGACGGTAAGAACCAGTCGTCGTTGGATCTTTTGCGTGAATATATGGCACTACTGTAGGTTGCAGCACGGCCAGATCAAATTAGGCGCGGGCGGCGACAGCTACTATGAATACCTGCTCAAGCAGGTACTACACGACTTGACTATTTTCATATTCGATAGAAGTCAATTGTATCATGACACACGTGAAGTGGCTTCTGTCAGGAAAAACCGACTCAAAGTACAAAGCCATGTACGAGACAGCGGTGACTGGCATCATGGACAAGCTGGCGGGCCGGACGAAAAAGTCTGGCTGGGTGTTTCTCGGAGAGCTCGAAGTGAACGGAGACCTGACCCCCAAGATGGACCATCTCGTGTGCTTCATGCCAGGCATGCTCGCGCTTGGCTACATGCACGGGATGCCGTCGTCCCACTTGGACTTGGCCAAAGCCCTCGGCCGCACTTGCTTTGAGGTCGTCATGTGGTCTGCATAAGGGTGTGCTAACTTGGGTGTAGATGTACAACCAAATGGCGAGCAACCTGGCGCCCGAGATTGCCTACTTCAACACCGTCGACGATTCCAACGACATTCAAGTTCATGCGTCGGACGCGTTCAACATCCTGCGACCCGAGACGGTGGAGAGCCTCATGGTCCTGTACCGCGTCACGAGAGACGAAACGTATCGGGAGTGGGGCAAAGTGATCTTTCGAGCGTTCGAGCAGCACTGCAGATTGCCCCAAGGAGGCTACTCCAGCGTCAACCACGTCGACTCGCCTGCACCGAGTAAGTTCTTCCGCCGCGAAATGGAGAGCTTCTTCATGGCCGAGACGCTCAAGTACTTCTACTTGCTCTTTTCAGACGAGTCCGTCGTGCCACTCGACCAGTTTGTCTTCAACACCGAGGCGCATCCGTTTCCGATTCAGTGGAGAACTTGAAGTTAGATATTTGAGCAAATATTTGGAGGAATTTGGGCCGAATTATTGCACATGCTGGTGACGCCGTGTGTTTGTTGTGATCATGGCCGTGATGAGCTCAAGGTACCAGTGGGTCCTTGTGGCTGGGGCCATCTGCTACTTCCTGAACGTCATGTACTTGGCATCCAAGTACGGAATGCTGGAGGGCTTGCTCCCGAAGAACAAAGCGCTCCGTCGAGTCAATGCCGCCGACGCCAATGTGCGTGATGCTACCGAAACGACAAGGCGAGTGGCGACACCCAATGAGACGTTGCACTCGTATAGTAGTTTGATTGATATTTGCTCCAGTATTCATACTGCCCTGAAACAAGTATGATCAAGCTAAGCTAATCGTGGGCTGATTGACAGATCAAAATCTCGCTAATTGGAAACACGTCGCGTGGTAAGCTATCGTCGCCACATTTTTCTTTGAGATTACAAACAATGCCTACAAATGGTTGCGTTGATGGCTGAGTGAGCGGGCACCATGTGAGGTGGCACGTTGCCAGTGTGCTGGTCGAAGTTTCAACATTCACGTCATCCGGATAAAGTATGAAACGGCATACACTAATTGCATCGCCAACGAGCCAATCAAATCGCACGACTTAGATGATTCCACGGCAATACCAGCGTCGGGCGGCGACCACTGCAATATGTTGTCTCTTACTGCTGCTGGCGAATGTCATCTACCTCTTTTCGAGGCACGGGATGGCGGAAGGCATGCGCACGGTTGGGTGGATGCGTGGGATGATGCGACGTCCCATGCCAAGTCTTGTGAACGACACCTCCATGCAAGCAGACGTGGTAGCTGCCATGAAATGGGCGTGGAATGGCTATCGAGACCATGCGATGGGCCATGATTCCCTTGACGTGATAAACATGAATGGTACCGCGTTCTCAGACCATGACCTCGCTATTTCGCTTGCGGATTCGTTGGACACGCTGTTCCTTCTCGGCCTCCACGACGACTTCGACGACGCGGCCACGTGGGCAGAGGCGAACTTACCCCACAAGTTCGACGGCCCTGGCAAAGTCAGCCTCTTTGAAACGACCATCCGCGTGCTAGGGTACTGCCATGTCATGTATTGTTGAACCCACACAGGATATCTCGGCAGGGGACTACTGGCAGCGCATCAACTCTCAGGTCGGCCAGGGTTGCTGGATCTTGCAGACGATTTAGGCGGCCGCCTACTGCCTGGCATGCGGAGTTCTTTACTGCCGCGTTCGTTTGTGAGTTTGGAGGTGTGTACCATCATTGCAGCATGTAAGTGTGCTGAGTGGACCACCGCCGTAGGATGCGACGGCCAACGGCCCGAGTTTCCTGGCCGAGTTTACGAGCATTCAGCTCGAATTCAAGTACTTGGCAGTGCTTACTGACGACAGCGACTACAGCGAGGCCGTGGAGGACATTATGGACACAGTACACCACCGAATAATCCTTTATCGGTGTCCGCAATCATGTATTAATTGCGTGTTTTTAGGTGAGCCAAAGTGTCTTGAGGGAATATGTAGATGGTCTCGTGCCTATCTATGTCGACAATGAGCTAGGCCGGTAACTACTATACCTCGTTGGCGCATGTAAAGTTATTGAAACAAGTAGAATTCACCGCAGCCGAATCAAACTCGGAGCTGGTGGGGACAGCTACTACGAATACCTTCTCAAACAGGTACAGAGCACGAGTTGGTACACTTCGGTTGTCAAGGTTGTGGTTTTGCCAGTGGGTGTTTTCTGGCAAACGACAAGACCGATATCGAGACATGTACGAGACAGCGGTGACTGGCATCATGGACAAGCTGGTGGGCCGGACGAAGAAGTCTGGCTGGGTGTTTCTCGGAGAGCTTGAAGTGAACGGAGACCTGACCCCCAAGATGGATCACCTCGTGTGCTTCATGCCGGGTATGCTCGCGCTTGGTTATATGCACGGGATGCCGTCGTCCCACTTGGACTTGGCCAAAGCCCTCGGCCGCACTTGCTTTGAGGTCGTCATGTGGTCTGCATAAGGGTGTGCTAACTTGGGTGTAGATGTACAACCAAATGGCGAGCAACCTGGCGCCCGAGATTGCCTACTTCAACACCGTCGACGATTCCAACGACATTCAAGTTCATGCGTCGGACGCGTTCAACATCCTGCGACCCGAGACGGTGGAGAGCCTCATGGTCCTGTACCGCGTCACGAGAGACGACACGTATCGGGAGTGGGGCAAAGTGATCTTTCGAGCGTTCGAGCAGCACTGCAGATTGCCCCAAGGCGGCTACTCCAGCGTCAACCACGTCGACTCGCCTGCACCGAGTAAGTTCTTCCGCCGCGAAATGGAGAGCTTCTTCATGGCCGAGACGCTCAAGTACTTCTACTTGCTCTTTTCAGACGAGTCCGTCGTGCCACTCGACCAGTTTGTCTTCAACACCGAGGCGCATCCGTTTCCGATTCAATGGAGAACTTGAAGATTGACTTGTTAACGTAAACGACCAATTTATGATCACTTTTTCGGAGTAAGCTTACCACCGTAGAATTCGCATATCTCGGCTCACAGGACGACTTTTCACATTTTGTGAAGTGATTCTTACAGTTAACTGCAACAACCGAACACAGAGCTTTCACTTCATAATTGACTTACTACCTCTGTTTTCGAACTATTGCGAGCAGAAACAGTTGGGTAACTTCCAGATCTCGGATTGGCAGATAAATTAGTGGAGCGTGTTCCTTGCGCTTTGACGCATCTACGAGTGTTTTTATGTGAATTATATATTCAAATTTGGAGTCCAAGCGCCATGACAAAATCCAATACAAAAACCAAGTCAAATTTGACTGATGAGATGAGGGTTTCGCTATAACCAAGTCAAATTTGACTGATGAGATGAGGGTTTCGCTATAACCAAGTCAAATTTGACTGATGAGATGAGGGTTTCGCTGTAGACGTTTACCGCGACCTGATTGTGCGCAAAGTGCTGCCCGCGTTGAAATCAAGTTGGCGCTGGCCAAGCGGCGTTGAAACGGGAACAGTGTTCTTGCAACAAGACAATGCGCGTCCGCACATTGCACCAGAAGACCCAGCGTTTGTCAGTGCAGCGTCAGATGGAGGTTGGGACATTCAGATGCGAAACCAACCACCACAATCGCCTGACCTAAATGTTCTCGACCTAGGCTTCTTTAACTCTATTCAGGCACTTCAGCAATCCCTCGAGTGTCAGACGATGGGGGAGTTGATTGTTGCTGTGAAAGATTCGTTTGAGTTATTCTCGCCCATGACACTGGACAAAACCATTTTGACATTACGACGTGTCATGAATGTTGTTATTGCATGCGATGGTGACAATAGATATAAAATTCCTCGTAGCAAAGAGACTCAAGAGGACGAGTTAGTGTTAGGCATGATGAACTTGAGACTTGAGGAAGAAGGAAGGTTAGAAGAGGTGGCAGTTCTGTTGAGCAACCTGACTGTCATTTCAGACCTCAGCTCAGACGATGAAATTAATTAAATTTAGATTCTGTACACTTGATTTTACAATGTGGTTGAATTTCCGCTCGCAATAGTTCGAAAACAGAGTATAACATTTGAAGATGTACTTCGAACGACTTTCCAAGCAAGTTTACTCTATATTTGAGGACTAATTTATGATCACAATTTTAACCTTGAACTGTGTATATCTAGATGCATACAAATTATGCCTAGTAAGGTATGCATTATGGTCAGGTGATATATAAGTTTACAGCTGGTCCGGATAACCAATCGTATCATTTTAGGACAGATAAGCTGAACAGTGTACCGGTTTTACAGAACTGTAGTCTCCTCCTGAGGATGGCCGATCTGTAGTCTTAGATGAAATGCACCATACTATTAATATTAATAGTAAGCATTTAGCAATTTTAGGTTATCAGCGTCAAAAGATTTTTTGGATTCGCTCTCTAACGTTTTACTTCAATAAATCACAATACAAAAATAGAGATAATATTAATAGTATTATCTCTATTTGTAAAATCTCCTTATTAATGACTACCATAATGACTACCGTAGTGTGTACTCCCTCCGTCCCACAATACTTGCGTAGATCAGAAAAAAGCTGTACGACTCCTTGAATAAAATGAAAAACTCTGCAAAACTTATACTTTGCATCAACTTCTAGAGTTGTAACGATACAAGTGGCCAATGAAAACATGGGATCGAAGTGTCTCAGAACCAATCAAACGACGAGATATGGAAAATCTGACAGTTCCAATCGATTCCGGAGGGGTTTACCTCAGGAACCCTCCTACCGAGCCCACCAACTTCACGCAATACCTGCAACATGCACCGGTATGCTTTACTCGTCATTATCTATGCTGATTGGATCTATTCCAACTTCAGCCATCAACTCATCCACCGTTTCGTCGTCACATAGGGCAATGCGCTCGAGCTCCTGGGCCAGCTCATGCATGCTCCGGGCCTCGTCCAGTTCCTCTTGGAACTTCTTCTCCATGACGGTGCAGTCGACGGAATCCAGTGAGCGCTGGACACTGTCGTAGGTATCCGCAGGGCATCGAACGTTTTCAGGCAGGAGCTCCTGCCGCGCTTGCTTCTCCTTGGACAGGTGAGGCACCTTGTACGCGTTTTCGCCAAAACACTTCATCGTTTCGACAAGGCACGCTTGGAGTGTCATGAACGTCCGGTCCAAACGCTCGACCGGGTACGTGTCGAATGCTGCATGGACATTAGTGATGAGGTCGTCGATAGTTCGGGCTGACGTGCGATGCTGGAGGGACTGGATGGCGGCGAAGAATCCAAGGTCCAGGATCTTCATGTCAGGTGAGTTGGGAGGTTGCGGCTTGATCGCGAACGTCCAACCAGATGTACTGTAGCTGGCGAAGGCTGCCAAGAGCTTCGCGTCGTCTGGCGTCGTCACATGCGCGCGCGCATTGTCGTGCTGCAGGTGGACAAGTCGCTTGGGGCATGGCCACTTGGACACGATCACCGGTAAGACCTTTTCCACCAGGAACGCGCGGTATACGTCCTTGGTCACTGTCAACACCTTGTTTTCATAGGTCCCTGCAGCTCGGTTGGCACTGTTGCGCTGGGCTTGGACGGATTCAACGAACGGCCAAGTTCCAATCTTGCCGTCCCACCATGTACCCGTAGCGTCGTCGTACCGAGGTCGGGCCACGGCGCTGAGAAACATAATTTTGGAAATGTACCTCTTTGACTTGCACGTCCCTTGAGGTTCATTCTCGCCAGGAACCAGATAGTACCGTCTCGTTGTCTTGGTGATGTAGAACCATTTTTCGTCCATCATGTCGTCGAACTCCATGTTCGCCCGAACGAAGTTGAATGCAAACTTCATGCGGCTGTACTTGTTGGCATCGGTCAAGCTGGGACGGATAGCATTCGAGTGCGAACGAAAGATCACGAGCTTGAGATACCGGTGCAGGGAACCGCGGCTTATTCCTACGACCATTTTGACTAATTCTATAGTATTGTTGTTGACGTATACCTGTCAGCTCCGAGATTGAGCGTAGTGTTGTGCATTGGGCGAGTGGTACTCGCAATATCTTTGCTTTCACCTGCTCGGCGGTATAGGCCCTCTTCCTACCCACCCGACCCTTCTTTCTGCTCGCAACCGAAACTTTCATGTTGCCGGTGGTAACCCCTTGCTCCTTTGCCTGAGAAAAGACGCGGCGAATGGTGGAGTGATGGCAGTTGTACTTCTCCGCAAGCACCTGCGCAATGCCGTTGGACAATCTGGCAAACGAGGTCTTACTGCTGTTCAGCAGAATCTCCCGAAGGATGGCCTCGCGGTCATCGTTCGTCAGGTCACGCTTGTTGACACGCATTGCGAATGCTGATCACTATTTTGTGGACGACTTCTGCGATGGTTCCTGTGTATTTTTCCCTCGCTGAGACATGACACGACAGGACTTGGCGCGCTTGTTCACATAAACCAATCAAACACGAGAAATTCGACGATGGGCAGACGACAGATAAGTTTGAAAATCACTTGAAAATATAATGACGCGTCATTTCCCCCCTCCCGGAAACTACGCAAGTATTTTGGGACGGAGGGAGTAGGTGGAATAATCAGGCCACCAGACTGTATGGATGGATGTCCACGGGGGTTTCGGGGTTTTAGCGATGAGCATTTATTCGCGAACAACTCGAAGACCTGCGCTTCGACTTCGAGGGTGGCTCGTACCGGCGTGGCGGGACACCGGAGAGTGGAAGCGACAACGGCATCTGTTGCGGAGATGTTTGATTGGCCTACCCTGAAGACCGACGTGAAAAACTTCGTCACTGCCTGCCTGCATTGTATGGTGGTCGATGGTGAGTCGGTACCCCGTCCCTGGGGTGAAGCGCTGCATGCCACGAAGCCAAATGAGTTGATTCATTTCGATTGGCTGTCGCTCCCGGAGGCTCCGGGAGGCCTGAAATACGTCCTGGTCATCAAGGATGACATGAGCGGGTTCGTTCGGTTACATGCCAGTACGACAGCGTCTGCAGCAGAGACGGCCGCGGCGTTGATGGAATGGTTTGGACTGTTCGGAACTTGGCGTATCACCCGGGACTTAATCCAGTCGATCGTTACCTCCCTTGACTGGACTGGTCCACCCGGACGAGTCCCGGGAGGTAACGATCGACTGGATTAAGTCCCGGGCGATACGCCAAGTGACAGAGCTCGCAGATGCCCTGGGAATTATGCACAAGCACGTGGCGGAGACGGCGGCAGCAAAGCGCGCTAAGGCCCGGTACCGTCGTGATGGACAACGTTCCGTGAAGCTGGTGAAATTTACGCTGGGCGATTTTGTTTTGGTGGCCTGGACTCTCCAGCATCCGGGAAAGCTAACGTTGCGTTGGAAGGGACCTTTCCGGGTCGTGAAGGTGGTCTCCGACTACCTGATGGAAGTCCAGCAGCTGGTGCCTCCGGGAGCGACGTCCCTGCACCATGCGTGCCGGCTCCGCTTGTACTGCGAGAGCGGACGTGAAGTCAATGAAGATTTGAAGACCCAAATCGCGTTCGGCGATGAAGGTTTTTACGTGGAAGACCTCCGGGACCTGCGTCTGCGAGATGGGGTCTGGGAAGTCCTGATCAAGTGGCTTGGCCTGGACAATCTGGAGTCATCCTGGGAACCGGCCCTATCGATCTACGAAGACGTTCCTGTGCTATTCCGTCGCTGGGCCAAGGCCCGGAGCAACGAAGACGGCGTGAGCGAAATGATCGACGATCTCACGAGCGTGACATTGTAGCTCTACACCACCGGGCTCAAATCTTAACTGTAAATACAAAGCGTTTGTGCATGACCACCCACGGAAGTCACGTCGTTCGTTGGGGAAGCGATGCTCATAATAATAATGCCATTTCCACGAACGAAGCGGACTCCACGGACTCTATCGTAGGACTTGATTTCCGTAGCGGTTCTGCACAAGTGATTAAATTATTTCATGTGTGATAGTGGACACTACGACGACTGGACAGTATAATTGCGGACGCGTGGCAAGATAAACTCTGCACTTAACCCTTCCTGAGAGCCATCCGCATCGACACTTGGATCATATTCTGTTTGCACTCCTAATACTATGCATGAGATCCACAGGGCGATCGCAAGGACATCCACCACGCTGTGTACACCGTGGTCCGATGGGCTTGGTATGTGCCGGTTGTACTGTACTGTTCCATCGGACCATAACGCATGTAACCATCGAGGATGTCGGAAGTTGCCCAGTGGATCTCGTTCATGGTGGGCCACCACTTGTCCATAACAACGCTGACATTGACAATTTCGTAGGCATGCAATGTTGTCGACGGAGCTGACGATAGCACCCATGACAGCGGATCACTTCCAGAGTTTGTTCCCAAAGTATTCATGTTATCGGCCGAGCCTCTGTTCGACTCCCCGTGCCTGAGTGTGGGTAGCCGAATGTTGGTCACGAACGACATTTGAAGAGTGTGAAATATGACCTGGATTGGAGCGGCATATGTTCCGGGCTGATGGTACACTGTACGATGCATGACTTGTAGAGAGTAGTGAAGTGATAGAAGGGAACTGACTGATTGACTGGATAATGAAGTTACTTTTGGATTTGTCATCGAGGTCACCGTTGTGAACACGGTAGTCGTCGGTTGCGAACACCGGCGCAAGACAACAAAGAATTCTTTAGCTGTCTTACAGACACGCTAGCGACTGAACGCATCGAGTTTCCCGGAACAGGAAACGAGCATGCCTTGGGCGTGGAGCTACCTGTTAGCGACCACGGGGACTCTATCCGAGCTCGATCCCGGTCGGATCGCTCGAGGAGTCCTGCGGCCCGTGCACCGAGCGTGGACCGCTTTGAAGACCGTGGAAGGCCCCGGACTAGCGCGACTGCGCGGCGGCTGTTCCGGTCACCACAAGGAAGGCGACAACCGGTGGCGGTTGATGAGGCCTGGAGTTACGGCAGACTGGCGACGTTTGCGGCTCCCGGGTTTGGCGGTACATCCGGGACGGCGCCCGGACCTACGCTGGACAAGGAAGATGTGGATATGGGACAAAACGACGTGCACCTGCACAACGCCCCGGCCCTCCCGAAGAACCCAACGTTCAAGGGATCCACCAAGGAAGAACGACGAGTTTTTATGGCCGCGTACAATCTGTATATCGGCCAGACGAATGCACTGACTGCCAACGGGGTCCGACCATTCATAATGCCCGTGAGGGTGTGTATCCAACCTGCGACGAAGCAACGTATTGCCGAATGGGACATGGGAAAGGATCCCGATGACGTGTCCGAGGGCGAATGGATTGCGTGGTTCAAGCAAGGTTTCGACGTCGATCCCCGGGCCCTGGACACCCTGAAGAAGCGGATCAAATCTGCTGTTGTTTTTGATATATATGTCGGTCCCGGACGCGGATTCCGGGATCGGACGTATGCTGGATGGTTTGGCTGCGGCTATCCGTCGGGACCACCAGGAGTGAGTGATCCGGGAAGAGAGCAGGCGATCGTGAAGATCATCACGGACGCCGTCAAGCCTGCGTCGTTACACCGTGCTGTTACCGAGCAGATGGCGTTAACGCGAAACAAGCCTCTGAAGAAGGATATGTACCGTTTCGTGCGCTGGTTGCGGGAATATGCGATCGGTCACGAGCGTTTTGTGGGTTACGAAGAAGAGTTGAAGCCGCCCGCGAGACCAGACCTACCGAAGCCGCCCGGGTCGAAGGTCCTGGGAGGACCCAGGGGCCCGAGGGGAGACACGAAGCCCCTGACACCTATTCCGAACGCACCGGCTATCGGTGCATCGAACAACGGTTGTCTGAAGTGTAAATCGACCAGCCATCGAGTCCGGGAATGTCCCGGGATCACCCCCGAAGAGGTCAAG